TTGCTGCAATCTGCAAAGGGTAACAAAACTTTACTTTCCAAGATTTGCTTGTTAGTACAAGTAGGGCAGTACCAAGTTTTGATTTTCTCCAGCCGTTTGTGTTCAGTTACTGGTACATGGCCGATATGGCAAAGCTGGGCACATCCATTGCAGGTTAAGGCTCGGTGTGTTTTTGCAACTGCTCTATGGCAAACAGAGCAAGAACGCTTAACAGGTCCCGGGTTTGGGTGTACATCACCAGCCATGAGTAAAAGGTATTCATTGCTCTCTAGTAACTGGAAAGTACAGTTAGAATTTCTATAACGTGAAATCCGTGATTTGAAAAATTTCCGTTTGCTCTTTGGTCTTTGACTTAGGCCATTTTTATAACGATGAACTTCTGGCACGTTTGAGTGAAGTGGTTTGTTTAACGTCCTATTTCCCCAGCAAACCGTGTCTGGTTTATGATCTTTGCAGTGTCTGTAGTGCAGAAGGGCAAATAGTGGTGAAAGCAGTCCAGCAATTACAACCAACGCGCTTGTACAAGCTGAGTGCGAGAAACAACATCTAGCCGCCATACTCTCAACGGCACTCGAAAAGATTGTTTTTTTCATTAATTATTCGGCACTCCATTAATTATTCGGTAGATTTTGAATACTTGTTCATTCATACTGAAAATTTGTAAAGAATAAACAGATTGTAAAGATAACCAAATTTCTCTTCCCAGGTTCCAACTACAAATAAATTTCAGCTTCAAGTTTATGACTCCAATCTCTTTAATGTGCTTTGTAGCAAACAAGATAAAGTCAAGGGCTTTGAACCAGGCACAGGTTGGGATTAAGTCATATGGCCAAAACCACTATGTCTATAACATACTGAATATCAAGGTAGCATGCCTAAGAAAAGTGTTATGAGCAAAGATTATATAAAAACAGTTTATCATACCTGATAAAGCCATTGCATTTGCAAATGCATATTTTTCTAATGCTTTATTTTCATCCCCTAATTTGCTGTTCAGGTGAATATCCCCACCAGCCAAATTTGAGTCCCGTTCTTTGTAAAGATATGTTAGCTGTTCATTTTCTCGCTCAACAAGTTCGTCAGGATAAGGCTTTGTTTGAAAATCATTGAGCATCAACTTTAATTCCACTCTTTCTGCTTCATTGACATTCCAGCAAACAAAAGCTCCTAGGCGCCTAAAGAAGAAAATTTCATGACTTTCAGCTCCGAGTTGCTCTTGACGTGAAATCCTTAAGACATCTGATGTATCTTTGGGTAATTCTGCCACTTTGTAAGTGCTACTTTTCCTCTCAAAATACTTTCTCAAAGCTTCAATGTTGTATGATTCACCTGTTGAATATGCTGTGCAAAGCCAGGAGTCCTAGAAAAAACAATAAACCATTTTGGTCTTTGATGCATTAGCAGGGCTCCAATAAACCATTGGCAGGGCTCCAGATGGAACATGATCCACATATGGCTATAACTCGCCATAGTTAAAACTGTGATTTGGAAGGGGTGGTTAAGCCTCCTCTTATAAAAAAATAGAAAAATACTTTGTTTCCAATAAAGGATCCATTTGTTTATATTGTGTTGCTATAAATGGTCTCACCAATAATTCTATTCCTCCTATTGGAACTGGTTCAGATCATGGAAAAAATACTTTGACAACACCAACTTTAAGCTATGAAAGCCATGATGCAGCATGCCAAATAACTTTATTACAAAATTAATAATAAGTACCATGTCAAGGAAAAAGACACATGGAGACATTACACAACTTCTTGTTACATCATGACAATCCGATGATGTCTTTTTGTGACATTATGCGACATATGATGTAACAAGAAGTTGTAAAATGTTTCAAGCATTATGTCTGTTTTCTTTGTTGTGGTACTTGTTATTAATTTTATTATCAAGCTGCGGTTTCCAAAGTTTCAATCTATTTTATTACAGTGTGGTATGATTGAACAGAATTCAGAAAATGAATCAGTTTTATGAAGGTGTACTTGCAGTCCAAAGTTTTAAGATGTTTCATCACAATTGTTATATAACATGACACGATATGCAATCTGCCAGATTTACAAACAAACAATTCAAAGAGATCTCTATAAATTATTTGGCTTAAGGTCATAAAACTTTTAAATGTCAGATAACTAACAGAGTGACAGTAATTAATGAGAAATTTCAAAGAAAATTACAGTTGCCCTTAGCCCTCATGAGAGTTTTGAATTTTAGAATTTGCTTTCATTTGGCAAATAATATGTTCAATTCAAGAGCCTGTATGGTAGTTCACAGCTTCCTGAAATAGTTATCCCAAAATAATCATTAATTTGCCCTGATGATCTATTATGACATTCAATTCATTCAGACCAATGGAACCGTTTTTAAAAGGGACAGCTACAAATGTAATTTCCACTTTAAGATCTTTGAAGTAGCATGTCTCCATTCAGAGAGAGCATTAATTGTACAATATAAGCTTGGCGTAGATGTACCGAATAAACAAACTAAAGTACCTTTGTAAACCTATCAACTTTGCCTTTTCTGATGATAATGGCCAGTTCTCTAAACTGAAAATATAATTGGATAAAATATTTACAAAATGACCCCCTTCAAGATATGATAGAAGTTTCCGTTAAGATTAATAACAATCACTTCATATACATACTTATGAAACTGGAAGATATAGCATGAAATAGAGTAGGAAGTCTACGTACTAGTCTATCTCGTTTTGAAATTGTAGAAGATGGTGACTTGGTTCTAGGTCGTGTTCCATCTCTCTTCTCTACAACTGATGAAGTGGTTGAGCAGAAACATTTGAAGATAGCAGGAGTACCTGAATTTCTTGCAAAGCTTATTTCGTTTCTCATCTGAAATAGAACAAAATAAAATCAAGGAATATATTTAAATTCAATTTGCTTTCCTAAATTCGTAATTAATCTTCCTACTTGATAAGTAGTCATATTCAAATTGTGAATCTTTTTTAAGTGCAGTTTATACAGCCAACTTGTTACCGGCATGCATATTGTTGCAAAATGCAACCTATCATCATCTACTGTAGCCTACAGCTAATTTAGAATCAAAATCCTATTTTCAGGGCAAGTTGCTTTAGGTTCCAGGTCTGTGGACAAGGAGAAAACTGAAAAAATATAATGTGATATTTACTCCATGGTGAGAAGTTCGAGTTGACAAAGTCAATTAAGTTTGAATGCTCATTCAAGGCAGAAAATCCACTGGTTGAAAATCTCGAGAGATACCTATGCCTCTATAACATAAAACTAGATGAATATAAAGACAGGAGCCATGTGTATCACACACATGCAAACACTCCTGCAAATTGCGGGAAAGTCTCCCTATATTTTCGCTCAATAATGACCCCCAACCCGCAAACCATCATATCAGAGAAAAACTCGCTGGTAAATCCGAATGGTCCACTGTTGGAAACAACATTGTTTTTTTTAAACATTTTTTGATTGACAAAAAGCGCTCACCCTTAACTAAGCACCCACTATCTCCACCTTAACATGTAATAACTCAAAACATTCGCCAAAACAAGTTTCTGAGACTCTGCAAGTCTTAGCCTTACAGTAGCAGTGAAGGTAAAATGTTGCATAAGGTAAAACAAGGAAGAAGTTGATTGATACCATCATTTTCCGCCAGTGGATATTCATTTTAAGAATAAAACTTTACTATCAAAATTTGCTTCAAAGAATGCAATTTCCGGCAAGCTTGAAGCATTAAGATTATGAAAAATTTTGCCTTTTTGAGGCAACCATGGTGCTGCCCTATTAATATGGCACTGCTTATACCCTATTAATCTGAGAACAAATTAAGAACAATTCAGCCTCAGATTTTTCAAAAAAAACTAAGAACAGTCAGTCTGAACTTAAATTTACTGGTTCAGCACACCTTTTCATCACCAGAGTGCATTGACTCTACTTTTTTTTGACAAAAAACTTATCTCGAGCTACATCTTTTGAGGAACTCTCAACTGAGTGATTATGAAAAACTTGAAGTTTGCTTTTTTGACATTTTGTAATTGAATTGTTCTTCTGTTTTGGACTCAAAGTTGCTTTGCAACTTTTGTAAGCTTGATTTAGTCCAAATATATATGTTTGTTTTTTATTCATTTTTTTGTTAAAAGCCTGCCCCCCTCAGGTATGGTTCTTGCTTGAGTTTGCCCACCCTAGCCAAAATCAACCAGCTATGTAGGTGTAGCTCTACAGGAGGGCGGCAATGGAAGATGTGACAGGCGTTATCCCGGAGACAGGATATAGCCCGACTGGCGCAAATCCATGCAAATATAAATTTGGGAGAGCTTTTTTCATGGCCCACGCAGTTTTTCAAAACCAACATTCCATAACCAAGCAAAAAAGCAGTTTATGGCTTCCAATAATTTTTAAAAACTTTTACTACCGCTAATATCAGGTGTCAGTAAATAAAGAGGGAAAGAGGATTCTTACACGTCTATGTGTTTATCACATGTTAACAGACTTTTTATTCTCTGCTAAAAACTTGCAATAGATAGAATGTGTATGCATGAAATATACCCTCCGATGGTGGCCTAGCCTCCTCCCCCCCCCTCCACTAGCCCCACTTGATTTTTTGCTATTCTCTTTATGACTATAGAAAAAGAGAAGTGTATAAACATAGAATAGAATAATGGAAAGGCGTCTTCGACTTGCGGCAAAGAAAATCAAGCTACTGCCATGCATAGGTTGAGGTTAAGCATCGATCGAAAGAATAGTGCAACGTTCAAAACAACCATTGAAGAGAGTGTGGTTGGAAAAGACAGCAGCAGCCACGCCCTGATACCATGAAGTTCTCTATTAGAAGTTTGAAATCTCTCCCAGCCGCCCCTGATTGCCTATAAAAGCATTATCCTTAAAATATTAAAAAGGCCTAAATTTCAATTGAAATGATTTCTGCATAAAGCACGAATAAATTAAAATAAATTCCACTACATCGGCATAAAAGAATGCTAAAATACCATAAAGCTCGTTTGAAAGAATGACACAACATACCAACATGCAAGCTCCATTTTTCATGAAAACATTAGCTACCGTATTGGCGAAAGCCTTCACCTTCACATTTGCGAAGGAGGCCATTTTGCTTACCCTCGTTTCTAGGGCGAGGCTTGATATTGAATTTAAATGGAATTATTTTATCAAACCCCCTACTTTTTAACGTCTTGTCCCCTCTAGCCCCCAGGTTATTTGAACTTTATTAAGGCTTTTCTTTTTTCGTGGAAGTTAGGGACTTTAATTAGTTTATAAAGGGTTCCTTTACAGGGCCCGTGCCACGATTTTAAAGTGGGGACCAAGGCTAAAATGTAGGGGTCCAAGACCTCTTACCCATGTTACTGCAGCTTTAAAACTACTTGCTTCGCAAAAAAGTGGGGGAGGTGGCCCTGCTTTAACAACGATAGATGTAGGTTGTTAAAGAAAATGCCACTAAACGGGAAAAAATGCTTTTCCTTCCGGGGCCTTCCAACTTAATCTGGGACGGTATCCTCCCTAAATACTTTTAAAAAACTATTTAATCTTAAACTATTTTTATACTTATCAGCGTTCAATTGTAAGTAGTTCCTTTACATACTAGCTTTGTTTCAATTTTATACTGTTATTTAGAAAGGGAAAGCCCCTTAAAACAATTTCTGCTGAAAAGCAACTCTCCTTGAAAGAACGATATTTTAAATAGGAAATTCTGCGAGATAGATAACCATGATAGTTCTACGAGAACGGCGATAAGGGAGGCAAACTGAGGAAGAAATTTTAAATGAAGAAAGAGAAAAAGAAAGTTTTTGCAATTGTGCAACGATAGAATATCGAGCTTGTTACTTCAACAGTCAAAGCAAAAATCTCCGTTAAAATTATCAAAAGCTAATAACAAACAATCTCTTTGCTAGATGCAAGTATCGATAAAAAAAACTACTACCTAAACACAGTGTTGTCTTTCACATTCAGCCTTCTAATTTTCTGCTGAGTAAAGATTGCGATCTATTAGAATAAATGCAGAAGACTGAAAACCCAGCTGTATGGGTGGCACATTTTCAAGTTAATATTTCATTATGGTACCCCCACCTTCGCCCCCTCCCATCTAGGAATGCTTTATTATGTTAATAGAAAAATTCAACGATTTGCCCTCGTCACCAACACTGCCCCTCCTGCTCTAATCTTGTGCAGGCGTCCCTGGATATCCTCTCGCACAAGTCTGCGCTATACAACGCTTGACCATTTCACCACACATACTTAATGAGAATACTCGTGGTGGTTGTATGTATAAAATTCATAGCAAAAGTTGTTTTAGATTCCTGTTATTTACCAAAAAGACCCCTAAAGATTTTCTAAGAATGATAATTTTTATTGTCACTCCTACGCGTTATGCATTAGTTTTGTCCACAAGATTCGTGCTTTGCATCAGTTAGCATGATATTTTAAAAATTTTCAGTGATAAAAGATGGTTAAATCACGACATGTAACTGCCTTACCTAGGCTATTCTACCGAGAAACTTTAGGGGAAATGGATACAAAGCACAATTTCACCTAAAGAAGGCCTGGATTTTTGGATTAATAGCCAACAAGAAATCTTCAAATCATTAAAGCTTTTTTTGTTTATCTTTTTTCATATCAAGGAATATCATATACAACCAACAGAGAAACTACCTTTGCTTGATCCTTCATTGATTTTAGGACAGGAAGGGCTCTGAAGTACCTAATGCGTTTCTTCCACTGAGCAGGTTTTACCTGAAATTTTCTATTGGGACACTATTGGGGGTGTGACACCCCCCAACCCCCGGTCGCGACACCCCTATTTCTGAAGGATCGGTGTTTTGGCTGGGACTCGGGAGGCACAAGAGGGCCTTTTTTAAAAAATAGTAGTAAAAAGATGACTTTTGCCGTCTCCTGGAGGCAGGGACGAAAACAAGTTGCTAATTTTGGGGGGGCGTGGAAGTATGAAAATTCCAACTTTAAGTGATAAATTTTTCATTCGACCAGTAGATCTGTTGTACCTACCAAATTGATATTTGTAAATAGCCCGAACACCATAGTTCTATTTTCTTTATAATTACCAAATCTTTACTCAATAATTAGCCTAAAGCATAAAAGCCTAAATCTCTAAATTTTTATTAACATGAAACAAACATTAAACATACTGTAAGAAGTAAAGCAACATTTAAGCAAAACCAGTATTAGATATACTTAATGATTAGTAGTATTCTTTCAGATCAATTGATCAATTTTATCTAAAATACATTTTTTCATGATATAGAAGCACCAAGAATTTGGGCCTTTTATTTTCGTTCTTGATCGAAGAAAACTACCTTTAAACTTTTCAGAGGGCCAAATGCCTTTTCATTCTTTACAATTGAAATGATGATTTGAGAACAAACTTGTGCATATGCCTGATTCGAAAGATGAAATACTCTTCTTTGATCAAATACTTCTACTGCAGTTTTTGCAATGTGTTCTTGCTCCACAGCAGTTTTGTCATAGGAATTTATGATAAGGACTCAAGGACATTAACAAATAACAGGGGAGTTTAGCATAAACTCGTTTTTTATAAGAAGCGTTGAGAATTTTTAGTACTGAAAGATTCTTAATCTTTTATTGAATTAACTACTCGTAGTTTCTAAAAAAATTCCCACTCTAATATTTTCTGATCAATGCCGGTATTATTATTCCAAACTGTAAGTTTCAAGTTTCTTATCCGTAAGTTCACCTTGCCTGTTCGTAATTTGATTCAACTCCCGTCAGAAAGAAAGAAAAAGAAAACGGGGCAAGTGTGCAATTTGGACCCAGTGGAGACGGGATTCACAATAGAAAACGATTGGATGGATCAGCTTCAGCCTGTGAATTTTAATGTTTAGAATTTTTATAAATTAAAATAAAAAAACTTCTTAAAATATAAAATTCACAAGTTTGGTCTTAAGAAAAAAATTCCAAGTCAACCGTTACGTTTTCCAACTGTAACTGGATTTTCCAAACTTTGGGGGGGCGTTACGCCCCCCACGCCCCCCTATTATTTACGTGCCTGCCTGGAGGAGCCCCGTTTTTGGCATTCCTGTGCCCCACTCTCCCTTCAACTCTTGAAATGCATTCAGCGTCTGTGTCCACGACTTGTTTGACTATCTTTGTAAACACATGCGCATTCGTGACCGCAATTGTATATCTTGAGCATTGCATGATTATTCATTGAAAAGGTATCCTTTTTTGCAAAACCGAAGTGACTCAAGCTTTGAAAGATGCACGCACGCAAGCAATCAAATCCTCTTGTAAGCAAATATTACTTTGCATTCTACCTAGCTGGACCGTGCGAAAAGTAAGAAAAGAAATTTGAAAGATAAAACCATTAGAAAGATAACTAAATATCACTAGTCTTAGCATAACCTCAATGGTAGGAGTTCTTTTTGTAAGTGGTAATTCTCAACGCTTCAGTGGCTGGACACAGTTGAAAGATAGGATGAAATGAAACAGTAGTATTTAACGTCAACACTTCTCAAATGGAGAGTATGGACTCAAAGTGAATTTAGCCTTCGTTGAATGACAAACTAAAACCAATAGCTGGCGCGTGAACGCATGATGGAGGTCCATCTTCTTTGCCTTGTGCTGCTTAGTGAAGGTACGTTTTGGCATACCTTATTGTTTTTGCTCTGAATATCCTCTTCGCTCCTCGGCACGTTAATATTTCAATGGTTAATTGGCAAACTATAACCAATGAGAAAGAAACTCCACATTACAAACGTTCCAGTGTTGGGTGCGTGAATGAGGAGAATGATTACCAGAATATCGATTTAACTATCCGCCTGTGGGTATTAAATCAAAGAGTAAGGTTGTATTGTAAGGTAGCAGGGACGTGGTGGTGGTGGCCCACCTGGACGGGAAGTTTCCCCATAGGCCCCTTGAACTTTTTATGTGGGCCACTTGGACTTTTTTTCCTTTTAAGTTCTTATTATTTATAACATCAAGTTTTTGAGAAAATCAAGTGAAGTAAGGCCCTACGCTACCTCCGTGACACCCAATATATTATAAGTGATGATAACAAGAAGCAATCAGCATCAAAATGGTGTGCCTCAAAAACTTAATTTTCCCGGCCCATGAAAGGTTTCACCACGCTCCTGTAAGGTAGTAAAACTTGTTTCAATGAGTGCATTTTCCAGCGAACTGGAAGCATCAAAATTCGAACATTTCTCTCCAGTCACCATTGTATGCTTGCTTTTGCTCGTGTCGCGATATACTGCAAGTTAGCAGAAACTTAACCTACCTAAGTAAAAATGGTTCCTATCCTGTATAATGATTGAATGAACAAATAAATCAAAGAAATTGTGATATCAAAGAAAGTTTCTAAAAGGAAAGCCTATCCCAATACCCTTTTGATGGCTGGCCTTGCGTGCCTTTGTCTACTTTCAATTACACCACTGAGATTATTATAATGTCGAACAAAGAATTTTATTAGACAAAAGCCTGGGAGTTTGCGTGGGTGCTTTTTCGAGAATATTTAAACTTTTCGGCAAATGGAGGTTGTCCTACTCACTTTGTTGGCAAATGAGGCCTGAACACCTTTTGATCGCTGAAGATCGCTGAAGTTTGTAACGATCATATGGAAACCGCAGTTAAAATGTCCAGCGATCCTCAGCGATCGTGAAAAAACTCACATTTATTCCAGCGATCGTGAGCGATCCATAAAGATCGTAAACGATCCTGAAAAATTAATGGAAACACGCCAGCGATCGTAAACGATCCACAGCGATCCAAGTATCCCATGGTACAGTTGAGGTGACAGGAGAAAGACAATCATTTGCAATTGTAAAATGGGTTAGCGTTGCTCAACCACAATTCCTGCACGAGTGTATTGAACACACCATGTTCCTTTCTTTTCTGAAATATGCTTCGAATCCAAAATCGATGCTTTCGTCGTTTACATTGATCTTCTTCTCTCTTTAAAGATAGTAGCACGAAGAAACTTGTTTGCAGTAAAATCCTTCATTCAATGCCGCCATTGCATCTTCATGCTAATGCGCGCCAAAAGAGTCAGAGAATCTAGCGATCCTGAGCGATCCTGAGCGATCCTGAGCGATCCTGAGCGATCCTGAGCGATCCTGAGCGATCCTGAGCGATCCGCAGCGATCCTCAGCATATGGAATGTAAAACACACCATATTCGTTTCTTCTCTCAAAAATTTCTCTGACCCAAAATCGATGCTGCCTTCGCTTATGCCGATCGATTTGCTTCTTCAATAAAAGTAGCACAAAAATGCTTGTTTCCATCAGAAATCTTTCGTCTACATCCGCCATTTCAAGAAATCTGCAAAAAGCGCGCCAGAAGCATCCAGAAACGCAGGGATCCTCAGCAATCGTGAAAGATCGTGAGCGATCATGAGCGATCCAGATCGCTTCAAAACTCCAGCGATCGTCAGCGATCGTCAGCGATCGTAAACGATCAAATGGAAACCAGGCTTTAATTTAAGAAAAATATTAAGCCAGGTTTCTATATGATCGCAAGAAATGCAAGTGATGCAAGGATCGCTGAAATTTGTGACTTGTGTGATCTTTGCGATCCTTACGTAATAATGGAAAGTCGTTAATCTGTTGCAACCGTTGCGATTCTTGCGATTCTTGTATCAATGATTTTTGTTGTTGAAAACGCTTGATTAAAAACTTGGCGATCCTTGCGTCAGTTTATCATCCGGGATGTTCTGCCAAACCTCACATTCATTTATTTTCATCGAAATTTCGAGATGTCTTTCGCAACAGATGAAAACCTTTCTTTCATAGAAGAATTAAAGAAGTACGACTGTATTTATAATAAGTATAGCTGGGACTTCAAGAACAAGTTCAAGAAATATTGTACTCCCGATCGTGAATCCTCAGCTCCTTGTTAAAGTGTGAAACGCACCAAGTTCTTCTCTCCTCTGAAGAAATTTCCTCACCCAAAGCCTATGTTTTTTATCCAGGACGATGTCTCGCTCTTTTCAAAAACGCAATTATAAGAAACAAGCTCGATTGCAGTAGAAATCGCTGGTTGATTCCCGCCATTTTCAAAAAATTTAACTTTGGCGCCTCCAAAATCAAATCACAAGAATTGCAAGGATCGCAGTGCGTTTCTTGTGATCCTCGCGATCAAATTGAAACCGTTTTTAGCAAGGAGTGCAAAATTCGCAAGGATGGCAAAAAATTAGGCTTTAAGAAATCCAGTCTCAGATTTTCGAGAAAATTAAGAACAGTCGGTCTGAACTTAAAACTACTAATTCTGATAAAAGAGTGTAAACCGATACTTAATTATGTTACTATGATGTTGCTATAGACTGCTTTTCTATTGCTATTATACTATCATTAAGATATTATTCGGAATAGAACTTTAAGGTTTGGGACAAACGGAGGGTTTTATCAAACAACCTTCAAAATAGGTGAAAAATTTTTAATTTTTAATTATACTAACGGTAGGAAAATTTTTCAAGAATCACAAAGTCAATAATTAGTAAACTGGGGCTTTTTTGAGACATCAGCATCTGCCTTCATTTCATTTAATTGAAAAATCTCCTACTCGGCAACCTGACGCTTGACAAACCCTGAGAAAATTTTCTAGCAACATTTTCATCAAATTTTTCTAATCAGATAATAATTATTTTTTTGAAAAGCCAATTAAACAAATAATAAACATCATATATGTGATATTAGATAGAAATGATTTCAGTAAAACTTTATTAATCAGACATCGAAAATAAATGGTTAAGAAAGGGAATGTCATTTTGCTTTGACTTATCGCCTCAATAAAGATTACGAATAAGATAATACATTCTCTGTCTAAGAAGATTTGGAAATTGGAATCCTCATTATAGACAGGTTTTGAAACATTGAACAAGGAACAAAATCCAAATCATATCTTTATGTCTTTACTGTATTCAAACACTAGTGAATAACCAACCAATCACCACCCGAGTTTCGAGTGATGACTAAAACAATGTCACAACGAAATTCTTCATCAACATAATACTCAAATCTTTGCCTAATGTTGTGAAGTCGATATATATTTTAAAGATTTATCTGCGCTGGTTCATCTGTGATTCATTTTATCCATAAACGATTATTTTTAATCCAGACATCTCCAGTACGGTTTGATAACCCTGTAAGAGCTTCACGTACACGCGAGAACTGAGAAATTTAAAGCTAGGTTTATCCATTTTGACACAACTTCGTGTTGGACTTAGCAAGCTGAATTTTCACAAATTCAAACATAACTTCAGTGATATCTTGAATCCTTTGTGCCCAGTAAATGATGGTATTGAGGATACGGAACACTTTTTGCTGCTCTACCATGCTTATGATACAGATAGACGTGATCTTCTTGACAATGTGAGGGCTATATTGCAACCCCATGGATTAACAAACCTTTCAAATGAAGCTTTACTGCAAATTATTGTTTATGGTCATGAAAAATTATCTTTAAATTCAAATACAAAAATTCTTGAGGCAACATTAAAATATACTCAGACCTCTGAAAGGTTTCATTAAGTAGTTTTATAAATCTTCTCTCCTATGTAATTTGTCTTTCATTATTCTTGTTTTGTTTTTGTCAATGTGTTGCGTGTTTTTTTGTTATTAGTAATCTGTAATATGTAAATAATAACATACAATGTAATTCCAATTTGAAGCAAATACATTTAATGTAATGGCCACAGGGTTGCTATGTATTTCCATGCTCCCTGTGGTATCGTCTTGTAGTTGTCTGTTTTGTAAAATTTTATGAGAATATAAAAAAAGAGCTTCACGTGCTTTATAGTCAACAAAGATAGTGTTGGTTGGATTTCAATTCTCCAATAGAAAGCCTGTTTCCATATTTTCTCCATTCAAGCCAAATAGGTCATTACGTGATTGAATGACTTTTCTTTAAAAGTAGCCCACATCTTTGATACAGATGAACACAAATTGAAACCTGAACATCTTAAGAATAGCCATACAAGATAAAAATTCCAGGCTTCTAGAAATATAGACACTAAAGATTCATTTCATTTATTCATGCCAATGATCTTATAACAGTCAGTTAGGGTATTTGCCCCTGAATTCTAGATCATTTCTTTACATGATAATTTACCACGATCCTTTACACGTATAACAAAAACTGCCGTCCAACCATTTCCAATAGTAGGGATATCGAATGATTTACTCTTTAACTGTACCTAGTTGAAAGGTGCGGATCTCTTAATTTTTTGCAACATTCCTCAATTTTGTGAAATTTAACTCTTTGTTCTTCTCACAGTTTTAGGAACGGCAGCCACGATCAATGTCACTGAGCCAATTATCAACGCTCCCAGTGGCTCAATATATGAAGATGTTTTAAAAACTGTTTATACACAGGTGGATGCAACACAATCATTAGCAAAGACTTCTTTATATGTAACATCTTACCTTAGCCGGATTTATACTTCCAATAGCAATGGATCAGATACCCTTCGGATGTCAACAAATGAGCCGGATTCAGGCTATGTTACAACAAATAAATTGATATCTAGTTTGGATTTGACTACAAGAAACAGAAAAACTGAATTACTTCGATTGATAACAAACCTAAAGACTACAGAAGGGAATAGTTCTCTGCCTTCAGTGATGATCAGCACGGTTGCGTCAGATTTATCGACTGATCAAGCACCTAAGACATCGATAATATATCCATCTACCAATATACCATATATCACGCCAAACAGCACAACGTCACAAAACAATAATCACGGGGAAGAGCCAATGGTAGCGAAGATTTTTATGTATGTTCTGCTAGTGTTAGCTGTGTGTTGTGGTTTATTGCTCATTATCCATATTCTCTACGTAATGGTAAGTGCAGAAATGTCTACAATTTTCATGATTAATATCCAGATCAAATAGTAAAAGAAGCTTTTCGCATTTCATTGTTGTTTCTTGCATTCAGGAACGTTGGGATCGGGTTAGGAGCCGGGCATTTGCTTGTTCCAACCTGTACCCCTTCAACTTTAAAACGCTCCTGATATCCCAGCACCCATTGTAAAAGGATGTTTTTTATATATTTTCGAATAATTGACCAAAAAGATTTGAAAAAATTTTGTCTTAATTATTTTGACTTTACTAAAGAGCTTTTGTCTCCGGGCAAAATATCGTGTTGAATCTCATCGTTATCAATGTATACAATACGTAAAAAAGGACCTCATTGATTTTTTCCATTATCCTTACCTTTACAGGCGTTTGAGACAGATCGTAGCTGCAAAGCGGGTTGGTGATTTCGAATATTTTTGATAAATATTCAATAAAGGGTATGCGTAAAAAGTCGTGGACAAAAATGTAATTCAATGTTAAATGCCAATTGGCAAGCTTAGCTTCTTCTTGTATATACATGTATATGGAACTACAGAATTACGAAATTGGGGCCAATCGATTTAAGGCACTTTAGTGATTTTACCTATCTGATTAAGTCAAGCTACCTGAACGACTCAGCCTAATTCAGGAACGCGGGCTACTTGAAGAACTAGCAACTTAAGCTATTCGAGCAACTTACAACTTAAGCTATTTGAGCGACTTAAGATGCTTAAAGACTCATTGCTAACAATGAGCCATTGCGCTACGCAAGCATCCCATAATGCATTTTCAGACAGTCTGAAATCAATTATGGTTAATCAGTAGAAGTTTACTGCCATTGTTTGGATTGTCGCCTGGATAATTTGCCACCTTCGCAAAGGCTCATTGTTAGCAATGAGTCTTTAAGCAACTCAAGCAACTCAAATCTAGACTTGTAAAGTAGAGTCACGTGACATACAGTCACAAAAAACATGCTTTATCGCAGTTAAGTTTGTTTAGGTGTCGCTAAACACAGTCTCTTCCCTGGCTACTCCACACGACTTGAGCACCTTAAGATACTATTGCTACTCGAGCAACCAAAGTAATTTCAGTGACTCAATCTACTTGAGCGGCATTAGATACTTAGGCCACTTAAGCCATTGGAGCCATTCAGGCTGCTTGAACGATACCAAATCGAGCAAGGTTATTTGCATTAAAAGCCAATTTTTCATTTAAGGTTATAAAGCTTTCTTCGATTACAGTACACAAAAGAACTAATTCTTTAACAATATCGCATCAAATGTTTTATAATTAAGACCAAATGGATTTATATACTCCTTATAATGGTAGTTTGTTTATGATCTTTACTGGTTTTTGCGCCAAATTGTTTATTAGGACAGTTAAAATGAAATATAGTTTATTTATATTTTGGAGATTTTGTCCTTAATGTACTTATAAACAAAATAAATTCCTGTACGTATCGTTTTGGTTCTTATGCTCTGTTCTAAGCATGACTCTGTTCACAAAAACTTTTTATATAAAGCTTTCTTCGATTGACGAACACAGAAGAACTAATCTTTTAATAATATTCACATCAAATTTTTATGATTAAGAACATATAGATTCAAATTCTTCTTGTAACGGTAGTTTGTTTATGATCCTAATTGGTTTTTGCCTCATATTGTTCATTAAGACATTTTAAAATGAGATATATAATACATTTCTATTTTGGAGTTGGTATCCTCGATGTTCTTATGCTCTCCTCTAAGCATGACTCTGTACACAAAATATCAAAGTAGGCACATAAAATAGTGATACGTCGAATCAATGTTAAACAGGGTTAACAAAACTTTCTGACTATCTTATACAACAACATATTTGTTTTTTAAAGAATGTCGTACTTAATGCAGCGAATTCAACATTACAAATAACACTTTTTCGGGGAGTTTAATCATAAATATCAAGCTGTTTCAACTGGCCATTATTCATCATATTTTCTAATGCCGTGCTTTCGCATTTAAGCGCATACTCTCTGGCCTTGAAAGTTTTCTCATTCTTCTTCATTCTTTCGACCATTTGGGATACCTAAACAAAAGATGAAACCAGGTCACGCAAATGCTCAAGCCGCCACTAAGATTATGAAACAACACTAGTGGGATACTTGATCCCGAGCATTTCAATACACAATCTTTGTTGCTGATAAAGAAATAATAAAGATTTCAGTAAACAGTAAGTTTTCTTTAACAGTCTCTGTCTAATTGCTTCAGGGCTCAAAGACTAAGAGGTTCAACTATGGATGCTGTTTGCTGTTTTTTAGTAGCCCAAATTTATGGTTTTTTAATACATCTTACTGATTTAAATTTCAGCTGAATAAAATGAGTTTGAGTTAGGATTGGGTATTTGTCTCTTTGGGAACTGAGATTGCTTTAACGTAATGTAAATACATATGCACACGATTATATTCTGGTAACATCGAGTTGATGAGCTCCAGCTGTAGAGAACCTGGGTAAGTGCAGAAATGGTGGACACGGAGTGGAGAAACGCCTAACTGTTCCTTTTCACATAGATATTCCTTGGCACCCTTGCTCCTGTCTACCAATGCCACAGCAGTTGTATTTATGTAGCTCTGAATACCAGTACAATGAATTTTAAGAACTACCTGATTTTGTGAACTATAAAGGGGCATTTTCTCCTTGAATTCTTCGTATTTTTTTCTGGAGAGACGAAGACGAGTCACCATCTGGTTTACAAATACGCTGAATAACGAGAAGAGACAGCGAGTCAATAAAACGAAAGAGAAAACTGCACGTGTCAATGAAATGGGAGTTTTGGGTTACAGTATACTCTCCAATTAGCGGACACCATCGGGGCAAGAGCAAGATGTCCGCTAATTTGAAGTGTGCGCCTTTTAGAAAGTTTTTTATGAGACTTTGACCAGAGATCCTTTGATCCGAGGAAAAAAAATTGTCTGCTTATCAGAGGTGTCCGCCTTTTAGAGTGTCCGTTAATTGGAGAGAATACTGTACACTACAACGTTATAGGTGCTTTTGTGGAAAAGCTTTTTGCTGTTGAGAAGGGCAGGCGTATATACAACAAGCTTCACTGAGTGCATTCAAGACAAAAGGTACGTGCAAGTCTACGTGACGAATAAACCAGTTTTGCTTAATGAGAATAACACAAGTCATGAAAATAGGGGGGAGGGGGGGTGAGAATCAGTCTTTAAGTTGCATTAGAAAATCAGTCATTTTTAAGCACAGATATTAGCTTAACATCTTCCAACAAATTCCTTCTGGCATCAAATGTTTTCGAATTTAAGACAGGACGGATAAAGGTAAAAGGACAGCCATATTTGAGTTACCTCTCTTCAAAGTCACTTTGGTCACTATGATCCATTTTCTCTTGCAGTTGCTTCTGCCACTGGCATCGCATGTCACAAACATCAGCTTCCAACTCTTTGTTCCTGCCAGCAGACATAAAGGATATCATCAAAGGCGTCAGAAAGCAAATTACCTCTATTCATAGATAAAAAAATGAAAGTACATGGATAAAAAATAAGATTGAGATCGGTGTTAAATGCTGTTTTACGTAGTACTGTTCAACGGATCGATGTTAAATACTGTTCAACGGTATAGAATTTGAAAGGCTGAGTCATTTCGCCTTGATTCCCTGCGATGGTACTATTCGTGAATGCATCCATTGCGCTTTGACCAGCGAGTGCAGATTTTGTTTAGTCAATCAGGGTTTTTGTTACATTTTAACAATTAAGCCAGTAAAAGTCTCTTTTTGAGCTGTGGAGAATTCAATAGAATAATACAACCCATCATTTTCTTTGCATAGAAATACATTTTAACACTTAATATCAACTAATTTGCACATTTGGTGCAACGATTGTATGAAGACCATTAAAAATAACCATTGTATGAAGAAGAAAAATTTGAAGCAAGTAATTTATTACTGTAAAGTAACAATTGGCCCTTCCTGTTCAGAATGGGGTATTCAATCAACAAATGAATTTGATTAGGAAAATATATTGAATTGAAATTATTTATTGGCATGTAGACAAAACCGTTTTCATTTCGGTGCACTTTCTTCAAGAAAGGGCACTTGTGCTTCTAGGTAGAGCCAGCGTACTCCTAGGTAGGACCGCGATAGAGGCATCGGCAAATCTGGCAAATTTAGCAAAACTCCGCTTTTTCGAGAACTTCATTCTAACGCCCCACCTCTAAAAAAATGTCATGTATATCTTGCCGGCAATTTTATCATTGTACAATCTCCTAATGAAATATAATTGCGGCAGCTGTGACACTATAATGTTCTTAAATTAGCGGTCACACATTCCCAATGTTTTCCCATCCACCTACGGATACCGCATTAAAAAAAACTAAAACAGATGTATACCGTTGCTGTATCAACAAATCCTGTTGCTGTATTGCTTTCAACAAATTCTCGCACTCAGCTAATTTTCTCTTGCATTCACCCACATCTAGCTCTTTTTCCAAAAGCAGTTTCTGCAATTCGGCGTTCTCTTTAGCTTTCCTTTGAACCTCTTCTCTAAATAACGAAACAAGATTTAACATAAACAACGAACCATTTTTCTGCATTGACTTGCTTAACGCCACAAAAAGAAACAACTGGTCGCAGAAATATTGCGAAGGCTGGATTAAAAGGGTACATTTTGTGCTTTGTGTTTTTCATTGTCTTGTGAAAACGCAACCAGCCTGCATGGCTCAAACATGCTCTCATCTCTGGTACCCAGGGTAGCTCTCACCCTGGTCGATTTGATCAAACACTTTGTTTATAAAAATGCCTAATTTTTTGCTGACCCTCAATGTTCTTAATCCTTTTATATTTTGGGCCTAAGTTGTTCTTAAATTATTCTGTCGCATTGTAATGTTAATGACTCCAGGGCCGGATGCGTCCATTTCAAAACAAACAGTATTAACATTTTTATTCAAACAGTATTAAACTAGCATTTGTTATGCTTCTCAAAAAAAACTCAAATAAACAAAAAAATTTATTTTTGATAAAGCTTGAGCCTTGCATTATTCTTAAATTGTCCTTAAATTTCAGCGATTTTAGCCTTAATATTCTTATAGATTTTCTTCTTATATTAAAAAGTGTATAGGTTTACAGAGAAAATTTTGCGAAGATTTAATACAAGACATGACTTTCAAATGATGCATGACTTTCTTTAACATCTTTTTTATTTTTTCTTGATCTAGAGGAAGAGTCCGACATAAGATTACTTGATAAGTAACTACTTGACATAAGAAGTTCTTACAGAGTGATTAGAAGTATGAATTAAGTAAGTTTAAGAATGATACCTAGTTTTCGAAAACAAATCATCCATCTTAGCTGTTCTTTTGGCATGCTGTGCTTGAGCGAAATCATAATGTTCCCTAGGGTTTGAAAATTGTCAAAGTGAATATTAATAGAAGAATATAGAAAAGAATACTGGACAGGGCATACAGATCTACTCTCTACAGGGTAGGTAGTTAAAATCTTATAAGTCCGGTTCGATCAATATTTGTGATATTTGTCAATATTTTTAACGTATTTAGAGGCTGTGCCATCCACGTTTGGAATTTAAAAATTCATAATAATCGCCATCATGCACATTTTACCTTACGCATACCCTCGACTTACTGCGACAAACTACCCGTAAACATACAGAGATAGGGTTGTCCTATATATATGTTCCATACTCATCCTTGTATTATGCCCCAAAACATCTTTTCAATGATTACAGCAGTACGGATAATTTACTGATATGTTTTCCATGCTGTAATCACATACAGCAAATTGCATATCACACAAAAAGGTAGGCATAATACAAATGCGATAAAGTTAATACATAGGGTGAAACCAGGGTGAAATCAAGAATCAGGTTGAAAATGCTTTAAAACCACACTTTGCAGTTATCAAGCAAGTCTTCGAAAAACAAATAATTTTTTCTCTAATGGGATCTTTGGAAATCACGCACAATGGATTGAGTACATTTTCATCCTAGTGCAATTGTGATTTTTAATTTGGAAAAAGATGGCACTAACGACTTGCAACTGTAACTACACATTAGATTTGTACAGTATTGCTCTGTTTTGTGTTTCCTCGATAGCAACAGGCTGTAGTAAGTTGTTTTGAGGGAATTTGGACGTGACATAAATGTCGATGTCGTGTAATCAAAATGTAACTGTTTATTGGCTGTTCCGAGCTGGGAAGTACGTCTTTAAATGCACACTTCAGATTTCTGTCATTGCAAGACGATAGATAAAAGTCGTTTTCCATCAAAGATTAAAGTCTGTCGTTTGTGGTAGGCTTTAGCGAAGATAAAAAGACCGATTAGATGGATGTGCTGAAAACTTCTGTACTGTGTTTGAAAATTGCTACAAACGACGAGCCATACTGCTCTTTATTTTTCGAAAATTCGAAGCTGGATTGTTGTTAATTTGTTTCTTAAATTATTAGGGTGTAAGCAGTGTCGTCGCTAGCTTTTGTGCTGGAAGTGTTCATGCTTCTTTTGTTAACAAAGTGAGATATATCCTTTACACAACTTTCACAACTTTATTCAAAATTCCATTTCTTATACTACCTTAGCTACAGCTTGTTCATAAATTCTGACTAATTTCGAGGCTCGTAAATTGTTTTTATAAAAAGTCTTGTTTTATCGCATAAATGAAAGGAAATTCCAAGATTTAATTGATTTCGAAAGATGAACTAAGATTAGCAGTAATGATTGGTAGTGGTCAAGAACCTATGGTTGCCAACTGACGTTTACTATAAACGCTATTACAACATGAACAGTTGCCTGATGATTGCATTTAAGCGTGAAACTCCAAGTAGCGACTTATAACCGTTCCAAGGTTGCCAAGTCTCGCTTTTTGGCCGTAAGACTCGCGGATATTCATTCACCTCTTCTCACAGTCTCACGACGGGAGTTACTTTTCTCAAGGATTTCTTCCTGGGCCTTATTCTTCTTTCAATTCAGACCAAACGCATTAGTGGTTGCTGAACACAGTCCATTCCACTACATTGTTTATGACAATCACTTGCCCAGACCTGTTGCGCGAATGATTGTCAAATACGTTAATGTATCAATACTAAACATTGTTATTGTTCATTGCTTCGATTGTATATTCTCACGATTAAAAGCCTCTGTGTTTTTCTGGAATGTTTTAAATGTGAAATGAACAAATGTTTAGGCATTCTGAATGGTCTAGTTTCAAGTCATTTGCGTATTCCAGATCTACTGAAATTCGGAATTCTTCTGCCCCCAACACTGGACCCCAGTTCCATTGTTCACTAGCTGCGCTCATGAAATCTCACAAGTATTATTTCCCAAAACTTGGCAACCTTGCTGTTCTGTTCTACACAACAAATAGCGTATTCAGCTCTGCCTATACGGGATCGAGCACTTAATGACAAACCAGTAAAGGGTAATTTCCATAAGAACGCTATTACAGTGTTAAAATGCATTGGAAAATTCTCATCATCTAGGATGTCTAAAGCAATTCTATAATGAGGTCATTTATCATATTCCATAGAAATCTAACCCTTATCACTTATTGATTTTTCATATGACTTTTGATACTGAATAAGAAGGCTTTAGCTCTAGACAAGTGTTAAACTGGACAATAACAAGACGATAGTAATCTGTCTCACTGGAGTACTTAGCGTAAAAAAGCAGTTTTTAGATTACATGAGATCAGTTTCAAGATGAACAGCGAAACGGTTCTTTGCAACAACGTCGAATTTCACGCTTAAATCGATCATTATGCGACCATACTGAAATAAACTGGCATGTTGAAGAATTAAGACATATACTAGCCAACTTTTACTGACTTTTGAACTGCTATTATTGATTCGAGGTCTGTGGCTTTCTTTCTAGTTTCGAAAAGCTTCTCCTTTGTTACAGTCAGCTCCCTAATTGAAAAGTCCTGAAGGAAAAAGAACTTGTTTGAATAAAGTCGTAAGGTAATCGTGTAAGAAACTCTAGAAGGCAGTTTATACCTTAAAATTTTAACGACGATAGTCACTTTTAAACTAATTTTCAAAACTATCTAGACAAGGACTCTAGGACGTGTCTGATCCGACTTTTTCGTATTGGGAGACACTAATGTTAAGGGATTAAAAGCAGTCACAAACATGTATTATTAAGTGTCCCCGACTGCCACGCTGCCAAAAACACCCTCAAATAAGACTAACTTTTAGCAATTTATTTGCTAGCAAGTAAACAGTAGCCTGCGAGCAGTCTTTTTGCTGGACACATGTGAAATATGTCCATTTCTCGTTCAGCAACAGCAAAAGCAGCAACAAAAGACTGCGCACAGGCTAGTAAACAGCAGCTGAGTACAAAGTGGTTTTCCTTTAGAAAGTATAAATCAAAAGCCAATTAAATATTATCACAAAAGGTGGTTAAGAAAAAATGCAAGTGTAAAATGGTCATTCGTATGCTAACCCATGCCTGAAATCTTTGCCTGAAAAAAAGGTTCTTTTACTAGTACTTAAAAATAGTACTTTTTGATAACGTCACACTTCGGTGTGTCGATAGAGTTACCTGGTCCACTTCGTTGAGGATGAATACGTGCATTATACATGCAGTTTGATAGCATGCATTTTGTGAGAATTACAGAATTTTTTCTTGAAGACTTTGATTGTGAGCATGTGTGATCAGGGTTTATACTGCATGTATATGATTTAAATATTCATATACTTTCTTTTATATAATTGCAGTAGTTACCACTTTGAGCAGAGAAAAATCAGAACTGTAAAGTGATAAAACCTACACACAAGCAAAAACATTCCACGTAGACGTAGATCCTTGATAGATCTAACACCATGCCTGAAAAGCAAAGGCTGCTCCTTTTTGGCACCTCCAAAAAATATACCGCTAAAACTTGGCTGGATTATCGAGGGAATGTATCTGCAGCAACAAAGTCCCTCTGGTAAAACCCTCCTCTTAACACAAACAAAGTCTTGACCCTCCAGCTGATTTCCCTTCGAAAATTGTATGCCCCCTCCCCCCGCGTCTAATTCTACCAGCATATAGAACAGGACAAAACTGGGCCGTAAGCCTTTATCTTAATCGAAATCTTACACCATATAACATATAACATTGAATATGGCCTCGCTTTTAATCAAGGCCTCCCAACTTCAAAACTACTCTGGGTTCCAGAGCCTAAGAGAGTCAAAAGGATGAAGAACGGGGGGAAAAGAATTGCGAAGGAGAATGGAAGAGGAAAGGGGAGATACGAGAGGTACTTAAAAAAGTGAGACATGAGGGGATGTGCAGACACGCAAAGTTCTGACAATTAGTTTTGCGGTATCCTTAAAATTCCTCATAGGGATATATAGACAATTGTTATTGCGAAGGCGTTATCTTACGGTTGTTATTTGCGACATTCAGGCGTGATCATGTGCCAATTCCTTCTCAATGCTCTACTGTTGAGAAGCTGAAGGAACAAACCTTTTCTTGATCACACTCTGCCAACTGCTTTTCCAATGACAACAAAATCTCTTCAGCAGATCTGCGTACGCACACCTATGTTATGATAAAAAAACATAGCTACATGAAAGAAACTTCATATTAAAGATATGTAGCATTAAACAAAGAAAATAGTATATTGATACCAGCTGGATCATTATTTTGACTATAAACAGAAGACCTTATACTAACTAATTGACCGAGGTATTCCGGGTGCTTTCTAATTCAAATCTTATGACGTAAAAAGCATAATTGCCATTTACCTCTGGTATCTTAATTCATATAAATGGTTTAATATGTGGCAAGGTCTGCATGTTTAATCACGTAAGAGCAGTATGTATAAATACATTATGATTTTATGGCATGATTGTGCATTATGAACTGTTGAAATTTGGCGTGGCTAAGGTGTGGAGTTAGGAGGGGGCGAAGATGAGTCTAGAAGTGGAGGATCTGGACAAAACATTTTTGCAGACCACATCCTTAAGAATGCCGACAATGCCCCCTTTTATAAATGTATTTGAAATAAGCTATTGTTGTGAAGTTAAGTTTTCGCGTGCAATTAAGAGAGTAGTAGCACGTGGTAAGTGCAAAGGTCATTATGCCATATAAGGTTAAACGGAAACACAGATATGGGCGTAGTAGGTACTGCAGCAAGAATTATAGTTAGTTACGAGAATGAGCTCCAGTAGAAAGGATATATATTAGAGACAGCCAGCCACTCCCTGGCGTAGGCCAGTGGAGTGGTAAGAAGTAACTCACACGGATTTGTCAAGTAATCATCAACCGGTTAGTCATAATTAGGCCTTAGTAAATATTGCATATAAATAAAAAAGGCCATCATGGTGTCTTAATCATCTCTGCCCTGAGAATCCAGAAAGATACATAAAATCTTTACAACAGATATGTCAGTTATATATGCCAATGATTTGTTAATTAAACACAATTACAGTCATATGTAGCTTTTTGTGACTGGCGCTTTCATTCCCCTTAACGTTCGGCCCTAAACGTACTTGATTTCTCAATTCCTCTTACGTTTATTATTCTGAATCATGCGCGGAGGCTCTGTGTGGAAAAACTGACTTTTCAAAGCCGTAGGCAAATATATAAATAATAAGTCGTATTCAAAAGCTTCAAAGTAGGACCGTTTTCCAAGGAGCAAAGTCTTTGAAGACTTTGACAAGTATTTTGGTATCTAATTTTTTTAAGAGTACTACTTTCTACCGACATTAGCAAGAGGATTTAGAGTCTCTGTTGTCTCATAGCTGATGGTAGTCAATATTCTCATTCAAAACAACCTTTCTGATGCGTTCACTGATCATTTTTTGCAACTTAAATGCACGATTTAAAGTTTTTGAATAAGATTTTAAGTCATATTCCCAGCCTAAAACAATTTCCCTGAACCCATGCTTAAGCAACACAACGTAAATTCAGTGAAAATCAAGTAAAAAATCCGCGCTATCATATTTCTTTATTGTGTAAAACTCTTCATTTTCTTCTAACACAATATAAGCTTGATGTGTGTATCTCAAATTTCTGCATTTTAAGTCAGATAAATTGTCTCTTTCGCTCAAAGCACTTAACTGAATGATTGCAGGGAAGTGGTGGCCCACAGGGACACAGGAAATTACCCGGTAGGCCCCTTGAAACTCTTCATGTGGCCCCCTTGGATTTTTCTTCCTTTTAACCTTTTGTCATTTGTAACATCAGATTTGTGAGAAAAAAAGCAAAGTAAGGCCCCACACCGCATCGCGACACTCATTTTCAACATTTTATAAGTGGATCATAAGTGGATGATGCCATTTCCATTAAAATGATGTGCCCCTGAAAACTTGATTTTTCCGGCACATAAAATTCCGACTACGCAACTGAAATATCACACCCACCCCCTGAGTGGAAATTTTATCGAGATTTGCACTTTCTCAGAGAAAAGATTTCTGAGCATGTAGGGGGGGGGGGGTTGCCTTTCTTGCCAGGCTGCAACCTTCTTCTATTTCAAATTATTCATAACATTATAACTGAAGAGGTCGAAAAACGTCCCCTTCCTCTCAGCTAAAACCTCTCCGCATCTCTACTTTTCCATTTCCCCACTTCTCCACTTCTTCACTTCACCACTTCTCTACCGCTTCACAATTCCACTTTCCTACTTCTCCCCTTTGCTCCGCGTGTCCGTTTCCCTGCTTGTCCGTTTCATCGCTCCTCTATTGCAGTGCACTAATTTCTAATGCTCTGGTACCTTGTGACGGAATATTTGGCCTAATTGAGGTGAATGCAAATTTCATTAAAGGTTTTCCTTGCTGCTGATTCATGTTCTTACCTCTTTATCGTAATGATCTCGTAGCACTTCCACCTCCTTTGCCTTTTCTACAAGCTGGGTCTGAAGTGTAGAACATTCAGCCTTCTGTTTCTTGAATGAATTTTCAAGGTTTGCTAAAAGCTTCATTTTCTAAGGATAAGAAAAACATCCAATGAGTGGATTTTGATACGCACTTAGCCTTGACATGCAACTAAAGGCTGAAGACTATATCCTCCAAGTAAGGAGTTTCTATTGACTGAAATTCTTTTATGGCAATATTTGCGCTGAAAATGTCGTTAGGAGTTATTGTGAGAAAAATTTTCTTGTAGAGTTTCTTACGAAGAAGAAACAAAACAAAAAGAAAGTTTCATATTAAAACGTAACTGTGATGAGACTCATAATGTACTTTTTGTATGAGTCTCATGTGCTTTATAAAACATGTACTTAATGTGCTTTTCAAAACATGAATGTACTTTTTGCATAAAAACAGTATTTTTCATTCACTGTTTATGTGTGCACAAACCGTAAATTGAATTTGAATAATATTTTCTGATTAATTAATGTGAGTAAATAGAGTATGGGAATTTAACAGTGCTGGTCACAAACCAGCAACTTTGTAAGTCGTTGTACCTTTGTAAGTCCAACTCAGCTACGTGAGTTCAGTCGCAGGCTCGGGTGCTTTCTGATCGGTCTTCCTCCCCAGGACGAACCTTGAAGTTTTCTTCAACTATTCAGTGACCCTGTAGAGGGCCTCCAAAAATTGCAAAGCCGACGATATTTCACGTCGTCTTGCGGGATATTGGGAAAAGTTTTCAATTAGCAATAACCGCGTCTCGGTAGGACCTCATTGACTACGGTAATGCCACTGCGCAAAGCTAGATATTCGAACTCGTTGCGGAGACTGGTATCAACAGTCATGTGTGATAGATGTGGGTTGTTTAAACAAGAGGCGCATGCGCATACACAGATTGCACTTCACCTCGTTGGCTTGGTTTAGCTTTGTCATCAATTCCTCTGACTTTGTCTTGAATTTCTTCTTTTGTTCTTCCACTTCTTTAAACTAATGAGATAAATTAACATGATGGTAAGTTTATTTGGTAGATTATCATACAAAGAAAGGACAAGAAAAGATACCAAGCGAGAATCAATGGAGACGTCCGAAGTTGCTTTAAAAATCACAAAACAGTCCATGATATTCGAAAAAAGTTTGTTATTACCTGTCTCTTCAGATGTTCAAATTTTCCAAAAGCATCTTCCTTGTTGCTTCTCTCTTGCCTGTAGATAGAGACAAAGATGTTGTGACTTGGGCGAGACATAGGTGTATAACATAGAGTGAAACACGTTTTCGAATAAGTAGATGATTACATGTATATAAGATTATATGCAATTATGTACACTCAAGGGAGAGAACCCCTCTCCACGCCTTATGCTCCTAACTCTAATCAATACTGACCATGGGAGGGCGTAATGCGAAGAGATGCCGGAAATGCCAAATATGGTAAGACCTTCTCACCATGTGTCCCGGAGCCCTGGACCCAAAAGGAGGTTTTCTGTCTCCTTCATGATAAAAGATAACCAAATGTAAAACCAGTCAATCTTCAAACTTGCAACAATCCACTTACCCAATTCTTTTTCAAAACAAAGGACCTTGTACAACAAAAACTAATAAAAACAGTATAACCCTGGGTGCCAGAGTCTCTCTAATTTAGAGCCTGATTACAAGGGCGAGTTGACCCGCTTATAGCTCATTTACGGCTCAGTGAGCTGTCCTGATGCTTCGGTCCAGCTTCAGGCGGGCTAAAAGGGCTGGCCCGCTAACTTAGGTGACATGTATTAACGAAATGGTCAACCCGCTTGAGGCGAGCTGGCTCGCTCATATAATGACATAAACAGGTTGGTGGTTGCGCAATGGCACAAAGACCAGACGCAATTCGGAAGTTCAATGAGTTTAGGGACCATAAAAGTAGCAAGGCACTACACACATCTTTTACAACTTTGATTAGGGTATACTGGTGAACCCCAAATGTATTTACCGTCAAAATCATTGACCCTGTCTCTTTAAGAAAATAAAATATCACAGCAGCCTTTTTCTTCTACTGGCAATGCTCTGTGATTTGGTGAGAATTCATTTTGAGATATGTAATGTCTCTACTCATTACAAATGTCATCAAAATCAGCTCTAGAGAGTCTGAAGTTCTTTTTCCATAATTCTTCTAATAGATTAACAGCTAGAATCACATCAACCCACCATATAGCAGTGCGACATTTTTAAAATAATATGGTTTTTTCTAACATTCTCGGCTATCTTGAATACAGCTGTCTTCTAATACGATTTTCTTTCGAAAAAAAAATACTTGTTACATTTTTTAGTGTACTTTTGCTTGTGCATACATAACGTTAAAAGTTTAGTCGATAACAGAAAAATTTTCAACAAAACAATAAATTGTTGCTGCAAAAACTGAAGGTGCTTGCTGTATGTATCCGCCTTCTTCACTATTTTCCCGGGTTGCAAATGACCCAGCGCTGGGCCAACCCACCTTACATAGTTAGGCCCTTAGTTTTTGGTAGAAATATAGTCCAAATCTAGTCACATTCACTCATTCAACACCTTGCTTTTCAGAAAAATAGGTATCCCCTCCTCCGCATTCATTCATTCTCCACCACCGCATTCGTCTACAATACCTTATTCCTGGTTTATTGAGGCTCTGGTACCAAGAGTAGCTACTACAATACAGGCAAGATCATAAACTGAGGTTAGATTTATCCAGGTATTTTGATAACATCCAGACAGCATCGGTGTTATTTTGATAACATTCAGTCTTCATAGATATAACATACCGAGAACCCTAACTAAGAAGAATTCTAACAAAGAATTATATATCCATGCAAATTTCTTACTTTATCTGCATTTGAAGTACATCGTTTGAACTGCTCATTTGTTTATAATCTGATGTGAGGTTGTCTATCTTTTCCTATAATAAAAGAAAACCAGTTCGTAAAGGACCAGACAACTAATCTAGATGAATTAACACAGTTAAAACACGAACAATTTAGCATACATAAGAAATTATCTTTTTACATCATTGAATTCACCACAATTTGTATCTGTTTTCTTAGCGACCCCCGCTTCTAAGCCACCCTCGTTTGCAAGACACCCCCTAATATAAGCTGCAGCAACCGAAGCCAACTAATCAATACAGAGTTAATATTTGCATAAGAAAGATAAAACTTATGATAATTTAAATTGTTTCTTTGTCAGAAATATTCATCAGATATTTCAGTAATGGCTAACTTTCGTTCAACTTCTTTCAAATCCCTATTTACTATTTTTTGCCCTTGTAGCAATCAGCGCCGACAGATAACTTGTTAGGGACCAAGACAAGCACCATAATTTGACTATCAGGATATGTTAATTCATGACACTGTTAAAATGAAAAAAATCCTGAATCGCTTCATCTGTAAAGCTTGGAATTAGCTGAATGCTGACGAAGCCAAGGTGCATTTCCTGGACCATTATTTCTAATGACTTTGGCAAAAGTCTTACTCGAGATGAAAGTGATGAAGTAGTGGCACTAGGGGGGCGTGGGGGGTTGTGGAGAAATAAACTACCTCCTTATTTTTGTCAAAACCAGTTCAAATGATAGTTCTAAAAATCGATGACAATGTGGCAGGCAGAGACACTTCATATTTGTTAGCATTTCCCTCAAGGAAATAGAAATATCAGAAGGGTGTACCACTTTGCAATAATGCAAAAAGGGGCGTATCCGCAATGTTTTATCCGGTGCTGCAACTTAAATGTGACACTCGCGCTGAATAGGAGCCTCGCAAGTAGTTGCTGAAAAATTCTGAGCTGTGCCTATCGATGCAAAAAAATTCTTTTCCGTTCCGATTTCAACAGCGCTTTCTTGGGGTTGTAAAATAAACACAAATGCAGATTTTTGATGCCCCTAATTGATATCTAATAAATCTGTAAAAAGATAATTTCAAGACTAGTAATATCACCAGAGTAATATCACCAAAGGAAAAACCCTTTATAGTATGGAAAGAAATGGCACGAATAATCAGCAAGAAACAGGCATACTTGCAAAGACTTTTCTTCTTCCTCCTTGTCCTTCGATAGTCTCAAAAGTTCATCTGCCTTTTCTTTTGCATTGGCTTCAGCCAAGCCATAATATTTCACCAACTCCGCCTTTTCAGAACTTAAATTCGAGATATCATTTCCAAGTTTTACCAACTGAGTTTTCAAAGCCTTGTTTTCAGCTTCAAAAGTTTGCCTCTTATCACGCTCTTCGGATAGATCACTCTCCAACTTACACGATTCCGCGCACAGTCTAAAATTTTCAGCATTGGCCTGAAAGAGCAAACAATTGACAAGTAACTACAAAGATCAATCAAATATTTAAGCTAATAACTAGCAATGGCACACGTTTTAGATGCCTAGAATAGTGTGACTCCAATTTTAACTCTTCAACAAGGTTGTAACATTTTCCCTGGCTGTATTTTTCCCCAACTTAGTTTCTGGTGGTAGGTTTAGGGCACTTAGAAGCGATTCTTATCGAGCAGTGTCTTAGGCCTTCCTCTTGATGTGACTAGCCCTCGTAATTCCAATGCCTGGCATAATGGACAGCTAGCCAAGCGACTTTCGTTATTCTAAGTGAAAGTTTGGTCATGTCAGTGAGTAGACCCTTTGACCTGTAGTCAGCAACCCTAGCAGACAAGCCACCCTCATATTTTTCCCTTGTCTGCCCGACTGTTTTTTTAAAACATTGAAATTTGGTCCCACCTCTGTTAAACCTCTGGTTAAACAATGAAGTCTAAAAACCTGCCACTTTTTACTCAATGTAAGGATGTGGCTCTCTTCAAAGCAAAATCCATTAGAAATAATGATTTACTCCCAATACTTCAGAAACGATTACATGATAAGTAACATAAATAATAGCTATAGTTGTTGACAGAATAAGCTATCTCAATCGCTACATGAATTTCAGATTTATATTGAATTATGAAGTTCATTCCTCAATCAAAAGTATCTTTCAATTTTACACCTTTATTATCATAATTCCTGCAAACATATGGCCTGTATGTCGAAAATATCTAAACCTCCACGATTAAATATCAAAAGAAAAATTCCTCGTACTCCATACTTTCTCAAGTCCATGCTTCAGAGCTGCAATTTCACTTTCATAGCCTTCATTTTTGTCTTCCAGTATGTGCAATTTCATCTTTGCTTCGGTTAGTCTGTTCTCAGTAGACCATAATTGCTCTTTAAGAGAGTCTGTGAGTGTCTGGTTTCTTCCTTGCTCTCTACGCCACGATTCGACATGATTTTTCATGGAATCGACAGACTGTTTGAACATTTTCATTGGTGTAAAATCATCAGGGGTTGAGAATGCCTGAAAAAGTCATCTCCGATAAATATGTTATGAGTTATGACATTATTTATTGAATAATTGATGATGTCCTATGTGTAACCCTTAAGTAAACAAAAAAAGCACAAACTCAAAATATTTAGGCAAGTGATAGTCGATGTTCCACTTTTGAGTATGGCCTTTATAGCTGTCATCCTAAGTTCTGACAAAGAATGCAGTTGAAGCAAAAAAACTATCGTTTAATGATTACCTCGTCATAATGATTCATATTCTCAGCCATATTCGAATCAGCAATCAAATAAGAAAGCAATGAAAATAGATTCGCTTGCTGCCAACGAAAGAACTAAACTAATGGTCAAAAGTAGCTGATTTTATGATTCGTTGCAACATGACGTCAAATCAATACGGCAGTGTATCATAAATTAACATAATCATCACAACAACGTCAAGGTGGCAAAACTGCATTTCTATAAAAAGTGGCTACGCATTCTATATGTTATTCTTTGTCAATGTTAGTCCAATATTCAATTATTATCTATCAACATGGCAAACAGACATTTAATTAAATAAGAACAGCTATAGACAACACTAGTATATGCGGTAAATAGCATTCGGCGCAAACTGGCTAAAAGAAATCCGTCCTACCATGACTATGTTCATGCACAATACCTTTGATAATCCCTGAGCAAACAGATATAAAGCATTACAGTTCTTAATACATGTTCAACGCTACCTCACTTTAATGGGAAAAACCAATCTAATAACACATAGGTGAGAACAAAATATACGAAATTGCAATCAATATCATCATTATACATGAATTTTAGAAAGTGGTCTCGTCAGACGTCAAGTCATTCTAAAAACATGTGAAACTAAGTAGACTTCCGTGATTGCAAGTCAGCATCCATTGTTTCTAATTTATTATAAATTGACACAATTAATTTTTTATCTTGTTTTATCAAGTTATCTATTTCTAATGGTGTTCAGTTTTTAATAAAAGTCGTAAACATGGTTGAAAAATTATATTTTCAAATCATTGCAATTGATAGTCGTCTTTGACTTTGTGGGGAGTTGTCCATATCGATCAAACCTTAAGCATGTACAATAGAGCTGCCTACCATTGACTTGTGTATACACAGCACAGAATTAAGTTATTCAACTTTGTAGTTTATAGCCAAAGTGCAAAGATTTGTAAATAATCAACCTCTTAAGTGAAACAATGTACTTATTCATCTGCATGAGAAAACAACCTCTTCGAAGGAGACAGTTCTTCCATTTCATCTTCTGTTCCCTGCTTATCTTTGACATTCTCATTTGCTTCTTCATCTTCAGCACAATGAAGTTTTCCGTTCTTCTTCCTCTCAAAGATATGAAGCAGCAGAAGTAAGGTCCACGTTGCACAAATGCCTGCATACCCTCTGAATAGGTTTCTACCGCCAAAATTCTTGTAAACAATACCCCCAATAATACTCGCTGTGCCCCCGGCAATACCAAAGAAAATGCCATTCTGGATTCCTAAGAAGGTTGCTTCCATGCCTTTCGGGGCAATAGTGGTAGTGTGGAAAACAGCCGCTGCCCAGAACAGTGCAAAACAGACGCTGTGAAGAAGCTGGAGAAGAAGGATATACCAGGCGTCCTGTACTAAAGAGAAACCAAAGTATCTCAATGAATACACTCCAAATGAAAGCGCAATAGCAGGAAGATTTCCTCGCAGGCGTTTGATAATGGAATTAGTGAATGGGAAGATAAGCGCCTCTGCACAGCAAGAGACAAGCACACTGAGGCCCATAACAATTTTCGATCCGTTTAAGTCCTGTATGTACAAGAACATGAAAGAATACAGCAAATTATCAGCCATTCCCATCATCAAGACAGTTGTGAAGAAAAATAAGACACTGGGCTTCCGTAACGCCCTGACCAGTCCGTTTAGAACTGTAACATTTTGCTGCTGGTCCAAAGAAGCGCCATTACCCTCTTTAATAGTGGGCTGGATCGGCATTTTCAAGAAGGAGCATGCTACCATTAAGCATATGTTACTGCCGGTAAATATGTAAAACATTGTAAAATAGTTGGGGCCAACATTTCCAGATAACTCGATGCCCACACCAGAGGCCAGCGATGCAAGGCCGAAACCAACCGCACCCCACAGACGCTGCTTGCCGAAATTGGAACCCGGGGCCTCCTTCAGGGAGTTGATCACCGAGTTGTCAATAAGCAAAAGAATGCCGCCGTCAAATATTCCGACAAGCGTAAACACGGATACCATGACATAAAACAAAGTCTCTGTGTTGTACTTGATTGTTTTGTTATTGCTTGAGGGGTTTTTGTTGCTTCTTGTTGTTGATAAATTACTTGGTGTTGTAAAGGTTGCGTCGAGCTCTTGGCTAACATTCTTTGTAATACTAGTAGCCACTTTTCTATTTACAAAGGCAGTGAAACCGGAGAACGGAAGTGGCTTGCTGGTGGAGTGGGAGGCTCTGAAATAAACTTTTGGTGATGGTAGAGTTGTGAAAGTAGATTCCGTGACATTCTTGTCTAAAGTTGGACTGCTTCCTCCTAGGTTTGACATCATTGCGTCTTTTGGCAGCATAAAAGGCACCCATGGTGCAGAGAACAGCAGCATGGTGCTCACTATAATCTGAAGCAACAACATAAGCTTGTACTTGCGTGTTTTGTCAGCTATTGCTCCCCAAACTGGTCCACTTAAGAACTGGGCAAAAAGCCGCGCACCAAGTATGTATCCTGCCTGCTCTGCATTTAGGCCATTAGAAGACATAAAAACAGCAATATAAGGCGTAACACTGGAGTAGGAGAAGAAAAAGAAAAAGTACGCCAATTTCGTCGCCAGCAGAACTTTATTAACGCAGAATCGGAGCATCTTTTAGACTGGCAGCTAATACTTCCGCCTTCAGGGCCAGAGTACAAGTTCCATCAGCACAACAGAAAGATAGCAGTTACTTTGAGTAGATTTATCCTGATCTTTGAAGTTCCTTGTACGCATTATTCCCAGTAATTCTTTTCTTATAATTTATTGTGATTCCAACATTGCTTGAGCATAAGCATTGCAATGACTCTGCCCCGCCACTTTTGGCCAAGGCTGCAGAGCTGCAACAACCACAACCACATTTGCAACAACAACCATATTTGTCTAGAAAAGAAAAGTCAAAAATGATTCACATGATTAAACAACGGAATATGATTTTGCAATATTTATAGGAACTTTGTGGAATCTTGTCACTTCACACCACCTTCGAGTTAGTTGTATCATCATAGCGTAGCACTACTTTATTCAAAGCCACATCAAGGCAAGGGTTAATCTTAATCATAACAGAACCTTCGATAGATGAAATTGAAACGGCAAGGGGCATGGGGTGTAGACCCCGGGAAGTTCCCAGGAAGATTTTTGTGGTCATTCATCTGAAAACACCTTCTTTTGAAAGCCTCATAATCAACATATACGCAACTGCATCCCCCAATGAACAACTCAATTAAGCCACAACTTAGTGTCCTTAGTGCCCGTGTTGCATGAATCCTAGTTGCATGAGTGAGATTTTTTGGGCAACAGAGGTACAATATGACTTGCGTCATTAGGATAGGATGCATTCCTGTAAAACCAAACTTGGAACACAGAAAAGAGATCCATTCTGTGCTTGAATGAGATAATGCAGTATCCGTTAACCAATCTTAATTACAGTACTTATTGATAGAGATACGCAAAACTAAAAATCCAAAAATCCATCAACGCAATATGCAGTATTTACTGATAAAGATATGCAACACTAAAAATAACCTGAGTCCTAGATTCACTCGGGAATTTTTTTGAGGCAAGAAATGTGCAATAAGAATAGTTTTGGCGTTCCTAATGCTAGAACAACTTCTAAGGTTCTAGAAACTGATATATTTGGGTTTAAAACTCAGAGCCCGCGCCCCCCCCCCCACTTTTTTGCAAAGGAAGCTGTTTTAAAGATGCAGTGAAAGGGGTAAGAAGCCTTGGCCCACTATATTTTAGCCTTGCCCCCCCCTCCACTTTCAAATTCTTGGCGCGGGCCCTGAAAATGAAATATTACCTCACAGAAATACTGTATTATTGACAGCATTTTAAAAAAATGAGAACCGACAAACCTAAGTGTGACTTTAGATTGTTCAAAACATTTATCTCTAGATTTCGTTTTATTTGACTCGCAATCTTTTATTATATCTTTGAGTTCTTTTCTTACATAAAATAAAATATTTCTATCATACAGTTCTTACATTGTAAATATTTTCGAAATTGCAGATAGTTGGCATTAATTAACATTGCTATTAGATTCATTTGCGAGCTTTAAAAAACTGATTATGTCTCAGGTATTTAGCTCGATATGCTTTCATCTGAGGTCAAGTTAATCTTGCGTGTCAGTTCACCTTTAAAAGAAGAGAAGTTCCTGCTTATCCTCTGCGAAGGAAAAACGTGGGTGGAATGACGTTTTTAACAAAATAAATCTTGTCTAAGCAATAAAATATGAAGGATATTTTAACTCTTTTGGTAGAAATACGTTTAAAGTAGTAAAATGAGCTTTAATTAGTCACGTGACGTCTATTTATGCCCATGGCCTTAAATTGATATCTTATTAAAAATGGACAAAGCAAAATCATCCTTTGAAATCGAAAATTCATTAGAAGGGACTGTTGTGGTACTCAAATTATAAAAAAGGACTTTTTGTCGTTTTTGTCAACCTACATTGATAGTATAAATTGATCTTAAAGAATATTACTATGCTAAAACAGATATTTAAACGTGGAATCTTACTGAGGAAATCAAGAGCTATAGAACTATAAGTATGAATGATAAGAAGGAACAGCACAAACAACGAAAAGCAATTCAATACAAATGAATCCAATATGGTAAACCTATTTAGCAATAGATTATAATTTTGATAGGGCTTAATGTACTTAATCTTCTTTCTTGAGCGACAAATCCCCGTTTATCATCACAATTCAATATCACCAGTTGATAAAGAACTCGAAACTGGTAATCAAAATTTCCCCGCCCCAGATTGGTACCCCCGCCATTTCCGTCTGGCCTACAATAAGTATTATTAGAAATAGTACTATAATTTGGAATTATAGTTTAAATTGAATTTAGGATAAAGAGTTTCCATTATCATAATTGTGAAATAAGAGCAAAACTTCTGAATATGAGGCTAAGGGAAAAAGGAATTTTATTTTTATCATAAAGTAGCTAAAAGAAAAAGGTTCTACACAAAAGTCGAAATGTGTCTCCTTATATTTAGAAAAGGCAAATGAAAGAGTGCCTCATGAGAGATAGTGCAGTGGTGCTGAAGGAGAAAGGTGTACCAGAAAGAACGGTCAACTCAGTAAAAAGCTCTTAAGTTGTTATGAACACGTGGAGACTCAAATAAGCTCAGAGTCACATCATTGGTTCAGACTCAATGTAAAATTGCACCAAGGCTCGGCCGGTCCTAAAAGCATTCAAATTTGGTGCAGTGACGGATGGTGCAGTCCCCGTGGCCGGCTACGAGGAAGAACTACAAGAAAAGGATGACAAAAAGGTATAAAAGCTTGGGGATAAAGTTAATGCACTGAAAACGGAAGACTCATAAATCCTTGAATTACCACTCCCCCACCTCGACTGAGCGGTTCTCCTTACCCAGGCAACAATTTAATGAGTGCCACCCGCCCTGGAATAAGCGCCCCTTGCTCAAAAGTTAAAGCTCCCTCTGTTTATGAAGGGGAATGATAAAGAAGAAATGTTAACATTTATTGCTGACCTTCAGCAAAGAACTAACGATTTACTTTTCAATAAAGCGTAGATCGAACTAATTTTCCAACAACATAGCAATCTTTTTGTCACATGTGACTTTAGCGCCCCTTTCGAATGTGCGCCCTTAAAACATTCGAACATTTAATGCAGAACCAGACAACTTCAATGGTACCATATCTTTTGAAAAATTTGAGATAGGCGTCTCACGTAGGTAGAATAAGAGATAGGCCTGCCTGGATAGAACGGTAGTTAGATACTTTGTTCAAAAGAATCCTTCCAATCGCTGTCTGCGGCTGTCTGACAGGAAAAGTTTTCCGACTCAATGTTCTGAGCAAAAAACAAATAAAACGCACACTCACATTTTAAAAGATACAAATCAATGAAAAACAAAGAAGTAAATTACATAATAAATCTTTTACGGTAAAAAGAATAAGCAGAACTAGATTTAAGTTGGAAGAACCATTAACACTCTACTGCACTGTATGTACTATTTGTTTGGCAGTTCAGTCCTTCCTGTCGTTTGAGCTCGACCTTGACTTTGATCGAGAGGCTGAACGCGATTTGTCACGTGACTTTGATCTTCTTGGTGACCTGCCATAAGAGCCTCTATCTGAGCGTGAACGAGAACGTGAATGAGACTTTCTGCTTCTTGATCTTGATCGTCTTGGAGATCTGGACTTAGAACGCCTTGGTGACCTAGAATGCGATCTTCTTGGGGATCGGGACTTGGATCTTCCAGACCTACTCCGCTTCGGACTGCGAGATCTTGAGCGGTACCTACCCCCTGACCTGCGACGACGACCGCGACTACGGCTTCTTGATCGACGAGGAGACCTTGAAGCAGAGCGGTCTCCATAGATTCGATCCGGTGAGAAGCTTCTGGATCGTCCAGGTTTGTCTGCCTTCACACGAACGAAAGACGTTTCACCCTGTAAAATGAATTTAAAGCATGAAAATAAGTTTTTACACATATCCATCTCTGTTGATAGCAAAATAACCAAACAAAAGCAGAAATGGATAAAACCGTTTGGGCAAAGGACAATGCTTATGATTGGCGACTGTGTCAATGAAAAGCGACTGTGTCAAAGCCGAATTTTTTCACAAAATGGTACTCAGTTCTCTTAGGAGAACCATATTGTAGCCTTTATGATTTGGTTTTCAGTTCTTAGTTCTTCCAAGGACTTTTTTAAGGCAAGATAGAAAATAACTTAACTATTCAGTACCCTTTCCGAAAAATATTACCAGGACATTATTCAATTGAATCCCGAGATTTTAGACTGAATTGGAGTTTGGTAAATGAACACATGAATTTTTTTCTAAAGCAAGTTATTGGGGCAGTATCTGTACGGCCTTTATCATTTCACCTGGGCACTTAAATATGTATGGTTTGTAAATATTATTGAACCTGTTCCTCGGTTCCTAAGTCCGCTGGATCATGACGCATCTGAAAGTAAATCAGACAAGCCAAATGTGGCATTTTTATGACGCATCTGACTCCAGACAATAACTGCTAGATCATCTGAAAATTTTAATGCTCCTCTGATTAAGGATCCTTAAGCCTGTCAGTTTTGGGACATGGTTGTTCTAAAAACTCGTCCTGTCCTTGCAACTGGTCAGTCCTGAGTATGGCAACCAGTACACCAAGTGACGCAAGAAAATCCCTGTCTGCCCTTTTATGTCCAGCTAAAGATGGAATGATCAAAAACGTGAAACATTACAGGGAAGTCTTTGCAATTTTTTGCAATACTAACAGCTGACTGAAATTGAAGCAAAATACAGTTAAAATACATTGCTATTATTTTGGTATGCCAGTTACAATAAAAGCTATTCTTCTTGAAAGGCCTCTCCAACCAAAACTTGTAATCTTTTTATACTGCCTAATCTCAAGGAATTTAATCTGCAGGCAATGAATTAGTAACATAAATGTTTCTCTTAAAATTGTTTAGTCTTCTCGTTATTTCATTTTGGCAACTGAAAAGGATTACACTGAAAGGAATTTTCAGTTTTGTGCGAAGGTGATATAAATATGATCTTACAGTGTAATTCACATCACCCTGCTGTGAAACCACAAATTTCTACTTCTGTGATTTTAATGAAAATGATAGAAGTGAAAATAGCAAAATCCACAAATCCACTTCTTTAAATCTCAGTAGTTTTCCAATAATGGATATGGAAGAAGTGGTATTTGAAAGTTACTTAAAGTTACATAGAAGTGTCACCAAACTGTTTATCTTTGTTTAGTTCAATTTCAAGGGGAGGGGGATTCTCAGTCTTATGACTAATAAATGATCGGGACTTTGCAATTAAAACAAGTTTATTACTGTGCTCAGCAGACATTTTTTTATTACTTATCGTTCATCCTAATAATAAAAATTCAAATCTAAGTATTTTGGCTGGAGAGACCCTTTCCATACTAGTTGTTTGCTCAAACTTTTTCCCACTTTATTCATTTTCAAAATTTTGATTCCGGTCCTATACAAACAAACACTAGTTTCTTGGCATGTTACAAAAACAAGGACGAAAATACCGCAAAAGCCAATGTATAAGCTGCAATGCCCTCTTAAATGGATCTTTACTTACTGCTACTTGTTATCCATTCAGACATCAATCTTGAAGAAGATGACCTCTATATCTCACTATATCTGCTACAGTGGCCTGCTGCTCTATTTTTCCACTGTTTTTCTGAAACTCCGACATCTACACTTAATAGTTGTGGCACAGCATCTTATATACAAGCTTTAACAGTAAATATATCAGTGACTTTATTTTTAAGTAGAAATATTTTTTTGAAAATTTGCGACATGACAATTTCAATACAAACCTCATGTGATCTGAACTTTGTGTCATCAAGGTTCCTTATTGCCCATTTCATATCATCGTATCTTGCAAATTCAACAACACCTGTACCATCTTTGAAAACATCAGTGTATAAAACATCTCCAGCTTCCCTCATGTGGTCCTTTAAGTCCTGCCAGCTTCCAGTTGGTGGTAATCCAGATATCAGAACCCTATAATCTGATCTTCTTGGTGGCCCCATGCCTCTACCACGACCCCTACTTTGGCCGTATCCTCTTCCATATGATTCATCTCTGCCTGAGTTTCCTCTTGGAAATTCTACTCTTATTCTGTAGCCATCCAAATCATATCCATCTCGTTCATGAACTGCATCCTTAGCATCCCTTTTAAGAAAAATGTAAAGATGCTTGAGATAGTTGACAAGTATACTTCATGAAATAAAAAATCTTTCATTTTGTATTTGTTACTATCTAACTTGCAAGGTAGGTTTTAGGACACCAAAAAGCTGTGCTTTTACAGCAGTGTCATGTTCCCTCTCTCTAAAAGGTGACCCCACCTCCTGATTCATGCACCTGTATATTGTAGCCTCTAATCCTGTATCTCTCTCCCACATCGATTAAAGAGGACTGGGCTAGCTCTGAACCTATGCGAATAAAGGGCTAATAGAGTACCAAAATAATGATGTCACAAACAACAAGTTTTTAATTTTGTTGATAAAACCAAAAAAAAATTATAAAATAAATCTAAAAGTACAAAATCAGTTGAACATGTTAAACATTGGCTTAGATATGGCCAGGTAAGCTCAGGCTATCAAGCCTCTGTAACTTTGTCTTAGTTCAGGGGCGGCTGAGAGCAGTATTACTGTCATTAATCTAATAGCAATTCTTATCAAAAAAAGCTATCAACATCTACTGGTCATTTTTTTTAAAATCAAACTAGCACTGCAAAATCCTTATCAAAATCGGCTTATTTTAAAAGCTTACTGTTTTCTTGCTATTTTGCAATGATATGGCCTGATGGCATTGTAAAATGAGCAGAAGCCATTAACCTTTAAACTTATTTCATCCTTTCAAGAAAAAGACCTCCCTTCTACGCTTGTTGCAACACTAATTGTGATGCATTCACCTTATGATTGCTAACAAATACAACAGCCACAGCCCTAAAATATTGCTATTAGGTTTTTGAATCCTAAAAGCAACTTTCTTAGCCACCTTCTTTGGTGTCTCTTTGTGTGAGATAAAGCACCCAATCACACTGTTGTGAAAGACCCAATAAATTCGGCCTTGCATGCTATTAGCCACACCACTTTTAATAGCAAGATTCCTTTGTTTGCCCTTCCATTCCTGTTGCATATTGTATTCAAAATAAATTATGTGGCCGTTTCTTGTTTACTTTTAACTGGGGGCTTTAACGGCATATTGACAGACAATCCATTCTTCGCAACAACAATAAATACACAAACAGCGACTCTGTTTATAAATGTGCAAGATAGCATTCTACTTGAAGGTGTAGGCATGACTTTGGAACTGTAGGTGTGGTAGACATTCTAAAAAGGTTGTTTTTGTAAAAATTTGAAAGAAAATGTCTCTCAATTTTATTCAGAACTGAGAAAAATGTTGCAAATTTTCATTCTTGTAAGGCTTAATAATATTAAACTAAATCTTAACAATGGGCAATGTTACTCCGGAATCAAATATACCTTTGCCCCTGGCCACAGCTTGATCCCATGATTAAGAGCATAAAAAAAACATTTCAAATGTCTAAAACAACCATTGAAAAGGGTGTGGTTTAAAAATAAAGCAGCAGCCATGCCATGATTTCCTCTAAAATCTCTCCCAGCCGCCCCTGTCTTGGTTCATAACTTTATAAAACAGGCCAGAATAATGGTAATCTGTTAGCAAACTCTAAATTTTTAATTGGTCATATCTCGCTTAATTTTGAACATATCTAACTGATATTGCATGTTGAGAGGTATTTTATGCTGTTCTTCAGAAAATGTGGTCAAAATTAAGAAATCCCAAAGAAGATTTTTGATGACATCACACTTCAGTATATACTCTATTCAAAGGAAGGCTGTCCCCTGTTGTGCTCAACTTTTTTCTCACATGAGTGAAATTCATGTACCATATAACTTGATTAAACAGCTTAAAACAATCAGAGACAACTCTAAATCCTGAGCTTTTGTATGAAACGGTCGTGTTCCCGTTGTAGTGAAGTTGTGGCTAAAAAAATTTTGTTCCCTGTTTGGTTTGTGTGACAGATATGTCCACTACCGCAGCTAGTCCAGCCAAAGCAAGCAGCGCAATCTCTTAAGGTGCGAAGACCTATTGTTCATTAGTCAAACATTGAGGGGACAGACTGAAGGTTACGGTAAACATTATCTGGATGAAACATCCATTTTTTGATTTCTTCACATTCAAGTAGCCGAACTTTCAAGGCACACAATGATATCCAATTTGAAGCAAACAGAAATTTTGAAAATTGAAAAAAACCCATGTAAACAAAGATTTCCATGTGGTTGAATGTCTCATTTATGTCTCAGGGCCCTTCATGGGATATCCATGTATCCCATGTAGGGCCCTGTTTATTTAAACAGGCTTATTGATCTTGAAGCTTCAAGTGACTTGACCCGGAATACACTGTGGTTTCAAGTGTACCTTGTAAGTGCAATCAATAAAATCCTGTTTTCTCCCGAAACAAAATTCCTCTACATACAGGTATGAAAAAGCTATTTTGTACAAGGAACCAATTGAATGGCTCAAAACTTTGCACACAGCCAGAATAGATGTCTTGTAAGCAAAGTGTGTCTCAAAATTTTTGTATTTGCTCTGGTCCCTCTTTTAAAGCCAAATACAGCTATGAGAGGGAAGAAAAATTGTTTGCCAATTTTTGACAGGGTATAGTTTCAAGGGGAGGAGGAATTTGAAAAATCAGAGATACACTTTGGTGGCTAAGAATCTGCGCTTTTTGCTGATAGAAGTCAGATTTTGTTACCTCAAACACAAGGGTACAAAATAGCTTTTGAAAGTAGTACACTCATTTTAGCAGTAAATTTGCCTGGAAAGTATCATTTTACAATCTCTGCCAATTATGCATAGTTTTATCTGATTCCGTTAATAGTTTTGTTTTTAGGGAGAGAAAACCAAAAAATGTGTCAAAAACATTTACCGTAACCTTAAATGCAGTTTTAGAACCTTCTTTGCCTGTTCCATCTTTTGTTATGGCATTTGTAGGGAGCTATTCAGATTATGAGGTAAATAATTTGCAACAAAACATCTCCAGAAACAGGAAGAAACCTCAAGAACTTTTCAAAAGAGCTTCTAGTTGGTTTAGAAGATTCCATTTCTTGGATTGTTTTAGGAAAACGAGTTGTTTCAATTACATCAAAGCTTTGAATTTGATGGGGTTATTGAAAGATCATGATGTTATTGTTTTTGGAAATTCTTGTCACAATTGCAACATAACTAGGTTTATTGTTTTGCTCAAATATAAATGGTCTTTGCAAAGCATAATTACTTGTTTCTGTATTTGGCTAGGTGCTTTCCACAAATAATTATTGACAAAACATTCAGCATTGATTGACTTTGTACACAACACCAGCTTGCTGCAGCCATTAGGCCCAACCAAAAGTCTGCCTACCCTGGCCTACCATTCTTTTAATTTTAGTCTGCCTTGTTAACTTATTGTTTTTGCAAATAACATGTGTTGGAGACATGCTGCAACTAAACTTTCTTGCAGTTTCAGCAAACAAAAGAAATGCTAGGCCTAAATTTTTTATTGCTTCTCATTCACTTTCTGGTTGCTCTTGTGTTTTAAGCATTGAAACTGAAGCTTTGATATTCTCCATTTCTCCTTGACATTTTGTTGCCTTTCTATAGAAAGGTAGGAAATAAATTGATTTTGCTAGAAATTGCATTTTTGCTGATGCAGATTCTAGAATCCCGTCAAAACAGCAAAATTTGTTCAATCAATGTTAGAATGCTAGGTTTGGAACCACCATTTTATTATTCATCATCCTGATACTTTTGTCAAGAAATGTTTAATAAACAATACATAAAAATAACCATAAGCTTAACTAACATAAGTAAAGTTACAGAGTTATCGAAAATAATTTCCCTCTTTAAACACAGGAAAGGACAAGAAATGAATTCATGACAACTGTCCTTTGGTTCAAGTTTTGTAGGAGTTTGCCACAGTCCTGAGAAATAATAGCTTTCTTTACAGAAGGCCTAACAAGAACAATGCAAAACGACAAAGAAAATCCAATTCGAAGACATAAAACCAAAATATAAATCAAGTTTCTTAAAAAAAACCCTGTAGGCAATGAACAATAGCAAGCCCATTCCTTAAAAACTCATTGAATGCAGTCTAGAGAATATCAAGCTCTTCTAGGCCAGTTATAAAACCACGTTTTACGTCTCATACCTTGGGTCCTCAAATTCCACAAAAGCGAAAGCTGGATTGTATCTGTTGTGGATGTCTACAGCAGCAATTCTTCCGAATTTATAAAATACATCCTCTAAATCTTTCTCTCGAACGTCCTTTGGTAGATTGCCGATGTACAGTCGACATTCATTGGTAGTTGAACGAATTAGTCTGTTCCCGTCCATCGTGAAAGAAAGATGAAACTAGAGCAATGAGCAATCCCGAAATGCTTCTCGAGAAAGAATGTAGCCCAGGCCCCAAAGAGAGAACAGTATGCTGGAATGGGAGATAGGGCCATCATAGATAAAGATTAAAATTATAATAATATAAAGATGTTTATGTATGCTCCCGGCAAGGGCATATCAATACAGCGGATTTTTTTAACAATTTTACAAATATATAATGCTAAAATAGTTTTGGTCGGTTTATTGCATTGGCTATGACCATTCGACCATCAGTGTAGAACCAAAAAATGTAGAAGAGGGGGAGGGGGCATAGAGCTTTCTAAATGTCAAAAAGTAATATAAATTCAATCAAAGATTTGATCCTGGCAGAAATTATCCATAACATTTTAGAATTACCCAAAGAAAAGGAAAGGGTGCAGCACCTTTCTTCTACAGCCTTCTACGACGCGTCTGGCATGAAAAAGGGGCTGGGGGAAAGCATAAAAATGTTCCTTTCTTCTTTTGCAGTAACGAAGTTTCTTTTTCTCGTTTATTGCAGCATAATCAAGGACCGTGGAGCATACTACAGACTTAGGGGGCTTAACAGGCTAGAAACCAAGAGCAAGGCAATATTTAATATTCCGAGGGGGTCTAAGAAGTCTTTCAAACAATATGGAGCAAGGATTTGGAACTATTTGCCCAATTCATTGAGGCAATGAGACACAATTCATTCTTTAAAAATAAACTTAAAAATTATTTAATAGACAAATTTACGTTGGACTCTTTTAATAGTTATGGATTGATTCTAAAATAGCATTTTGAACTAACATTATAGGTTCATAACTAATTATTTGAATTTTGTACTAGGTTTTTGCTAATTCTTATTTATTTATTAGTTCAATTTAGATAATTTGTATTTTTAACTTGTGAACCAAACTTAGTTTGTTATTCATATTAAAGATTATTATACATACATACATATTGGAGGGTCTGAAGCACACCCACCCCCAAGCTGCCCGCTTCCGTGGTCCTCAAGTATAACAGTTTCATAATAAATATTCACATTTTCCGTGTGTATGTAGTTAAATATTTTTCACAACGACAATGACATTTTGCCTATTTTTTTGGACCTATGTAAGCCATCAAGTTGTTTATTTAACAAAAGATTAACCATATGGCAGCCTGACCAATAATTTCTTTCATAATAACGTCTTGTACAAAAATCTTGATAAAAAAGTAGAAGTTCTTGAAATGTTGATGTAGTATCCACTTTTTGATCCAACCAATATACACATTGAACTTCCAACTACGAGTATAGGACAGTGACAAACATAAGGGCCCGTAGGCACAAGAGAATATCACATCCCATCACAATAAGTAATCATAACCCCAAATCAAGCAAATGAAATGTGGTAGAAAATGCAGAAAAATTCTAAGCATATGTGCCTTCGCCAGTGACATTGATTTAAAATTTAAACAAAACCTATTCAAGGAAAACAAAAACTATTTTTAGCTGGAATTCACAAAAATTTCATTCACATATCTTTGCTCACTTCCAGGGACATAGCCAATTAAATTTTTTAGGTGTTGCAGAAATGAACTTTTGATGATAACAAGAGCGTGTCTCAGACTTGTAAGGTGCAGAGAAGAGATTTTAAGCTGCCTTCATGCATTTAAAAACATACTGTGACCATTCACAAAGTATACATATTAATAATGAGAAAAAGTTGATCATATAATTTCTTAGGTCTTCAAAAACACAAATTTTTCAATGTAGTGTTTTCCTTGCACAGGAGATTAAATGTTACATTACTGTAAATCTTATTATAAATGTCGCAATTTCTTTAATTTTCTGTGATCCAGAAATGTTTTTCAAAGTTTTCTTTACAATAATTTACTGGTTATAAATGCACTACACAGTAAAAAGAAAACTTGTTTCTTTGCCTGACAAAATTCCTTGCTGCGCCAACAGATTAAATTACAGTACCCCCTTTGGAAACACCCCTGCTCGCTTCCATGTTTCTCTAGCTTTAAGTTTTCGAAAATGGAGTTAATTTCCCCTTAATCATTGACTTTATAAATCAATTAAAAAGCTAAAAATGTCGAGATCTTTTAAAAGTATGAGCCAGTATAAACGAGATTCTTTCCTTTTTGAAACAACATAAAAGGGACTAACAAATGAACCAATCAGATAAATGGTACAAATACCTCATTTAAAGCAATTTAGAAGCACTAATAATATGAAATAAAGGGTTTTTTATGCATGCTTCTAAAATATAATTATTTACATTATTTGTCACTAGTGTCTCCATTGGAGCAGTCAATGTTCTTATCCTGACTTGAAAAGCAGAATTGCAACTTGTCCCATATAGAAATAGATGAAGTGTTTTGTTTCATGTGTCACATATGATCCAAAGTTTCTGCCAACAATACAATGCCACGTTGGGTTGTACTTTTTGTCGAATTCTTTTTTGATGAATGCTGCAATATCTTTTTCAATGTTGTATTTATCTAGAGCTTGCTTTGCACATTCTGTTGCATCATTTTGCATGTCCTCTGCCATGTCAGCATTTTTTATAACAGCTTTTTTCTCGCTCATCTAAAATGAAAAATTTAGAAATATTTGAGAAAATGCTGTGTGACCTTTGAACAGCCAAGATTAAAACAAAACAAAACAATACACGCAGGTTTGAATAATGGAACAACATCTTGTACGCACACCCTTTTATCGGCGAAAATGGAAAAATTACAGGAGTAAATTAAAATAAAGAAAAGACTATCAGTTGGACCTATAGATTAATAAAAAGTTTGAGAAACTTTTAACTGCAATGCAAATAACGCTGAAACTTCAATAATCAGTTGGTTTCGGCGCGAGTTGGTTGCTACGGATGCCATCACCATAGCATCAAGATCCAAGGACGAGTTCCCTACTCGCTATGCATGTGGTGGCTAACAAAATTCACTAAATGGTCAAACCTTTTATATAGAGCAGCTTGCGACATATCTGTATCTAACCATTAGACGAATGGATGAAGTTTACAAACAAGTCTATCATTTGGTTTCAACAATACTGTTTAGAGATAATTTTTTGAACGAGAGAAATTTCAAGACTTAAGACCCAAAAAACTTAGATAGGCCCATTCTAATGTACCATTCTGAACACTATTTTCATTCGAGTAGCTAACAAAATATCATACTTACTTTGACGTTTATCGATCGCTGATGACAAGCAGTATACTTTGTTTCACAGCCACGAGTACTCTATGAAAATGTTACTACGAAAAACGTCGCTACAGGTTGGCGCGGAAGGTAATTACAACATTAATTTGGTATCTATGTTATTGCTATGGTTATTCCATAATTGACCAATGACACGCGAGTGAATGACGTTCTTTGGCAATGGTTTCGGTAAAGTTTATTTCCCATCATGCATTGACATCCCGCATTTCGAGGTTGAATCTGAAACGAGAATAATCGAAATGGAACTCTGGATCAGGGGGGTTGATACAGTAAAAATCCGCTTATAAGAACATGGGTTTCAAGAACCTGGTAAGGCTAAAATTTCTAGGTTCTTACCAGTGGAGCTCCTGTAAAGGTTTCTAGATGGAAACTGTTGAATTATTGTGTCTATTGTTTCCATCATTCCAATTAATTCTCCTAATATTCAGCATTTGCGAAGTGCAAAATTTTAATTTTCATTTATTCCAAGTTTTCGACATATACAGTAAACATTGTTCTTTAAATAACAGTTCAGAGATTTTGCTATTACAAAATCGTTTATTCAAACCATACAGTGATGTAGTGCTAAGGGGCTCAGGGGTGGGGGGCTGTTAATGCCGAAAATTGGCAAATTTCTACTTTTCCTATTTTTCGCAACATTACGTGCAAGAGCCATCCTTGTTATTTTGATAGCTCTACACCACTGCAACCATGTATAAGATTTGAAATATTTGCTGCAAACATGTGCTTCCAACCGTGCGAGGACTCTTGCAACGAGAAAAATTGCATCGAAATAAAATGACATGACGATGACGTGACATGACAGTCCACGAATGACATGTGCCATCTTCAAAATCTCGTCTTTTGCAGAAATTCTTTTTTGATAAAATCTTCCAAAAATAAAAAAATTCCTATTATTCCAAAAAGTCTCATCGGGGGCGTCGAAAGCACTTTTCCATTTCAAAGTTGGTGCAACACAGGCTGGCTGGAAAGGGCATCACGCCTAGGCTACCCACGCCTAGGCTACCCGCGCCACGAATTTGAAAGTGGGGGGCCGAGGCTAAAAAATTAGGGGACCAAAGCTTCTTACCCCTTTTTCTGCAGCTTTAATATAACTTGCTTCGCAAAAAAGTGGTGGGCATGCCCCCAGTGGCGTAGGCTCTGTCATATCACGGAAAAAGGAAACATTATTTCAAAAGGATTTATTCTTCGAAAAGGGCATTATCCCAAAAGTTTGGGGGCACCTGCTCTGGTGCAACCGCGGCTCTGGCTCCTACGTCCCTGATCCTGAATCTCATGCTTTTTTGAAAAAGAGAGGTACACCCGAGAGTACACCTTCGAATGTGCTGCCATCTTTTCCATAGACAGATAAAGTCTGCACCTTACCCCCGTCGCGCTTGATTCCATGTTTTGTATCCGGCCTGATTCAACTGTTTGTTGAAGAAGCAACGTGTTTCGGAATTGCATCTCTCACATTTGGTTGTAGTAAATATGTCTCACAGTAGCAGAAGTGACGTCCCTCCTCGTATGAATAGATCTAATTCAAATGAATGTCGTTTGTATGTTGGAAATCTCCCAGATGATATTCGATCCAGAGATATTGAAGATGTCTTCTACAAATATGGAAGCATAAGGGATGTAGAGTTAAAATTACCAAAGGGGAGAGGAACCCCATATGCCTTTGTGGAGTTCGACGATCCAAGGTAAAGTTATTTATTTCATAACATAATACAAGGGATGCCTTCTCTTGTATACAGAAGACAACGGGGGACCTCATTGAAATCTATAAGTACACACATGATTGCTATGATACTAAGAGCTTATTTGAGATACAAGAAGATAATATTACAAGAGGAAATGATTTAAAGCTTAAAAAACAAAGATGCCGAAGAGATGTTCGAAAAAGATTTTTCAGTTTGAGGATTACCGACATTTGGAACAAATTACCAAACAGCATAGCTAATGCGAGTTCATTGTGTTTATTCAAATAAAAATTGATAATTTTTCGGTGACAAGAAGTACTTAATGGACAGATCAGAAATGATTTCAAATATCTGAATATCACATGAATTAAGACAAGGGGATGTTCCGGAAAAACTGAGACAAGTCACACTTTTCAAATTTTCCAAGCTTTGATTAGTTTTCATCCAATGGGTTTCTTTCCATTGCGCATGGACTCCAATGTTTTAACTTGCATGTTTTTCATACCAACAACAACAATTAGATTAGAAGCGATCTGTAACAGGCTTATAGCCTACATTACAGCATTTGTTATGTTATGTTATGTTATGTTATAATTTGGGGCAAAAGGTTTTCCCATTGTGGTGCCTAAGGGAGGTTAATAAAATTTACAATTACACTCTTCTTTATAAGAGTCAATAGATTGAAGTTCTGGCTGGTTGTTCTTAACTTTTTCACAATCTGAGGCTGAATTGTTCTTAATTTATTCTTAAATTTACAGGATATAAGCAGTGCGATTGCTAGCTTTTTGCTCTAGGGAGGTGTCTAGGCCTCATTTGCCAACAAAGTGTGCGAGAAAACCTTCATTTGCCACCATCCTTGATTATTCACCAAAGAAACATCCCAAGATGGCAAAAAATTTCTTGTTTTTGAGATGAAACATTGTTCAAAGTTACATTTTACAGTAACTCAGCCTGTTCTTAATTTGTTCTCAACTTTTGACCAATTTTGAAGCTCCTGTTCTTATAAAACTTTTCTTATAAAATGAGAGTGTAAAAGAAATATAATTATTGTGAATAAAAATCTCCATCTGTTGTATTTTATATGCAGCAGGGTAGCTTCCCCACAAAGATTTTTGATGGCATTGAGGGACTAGATGGCTAGTGTGTATATCAAAAGTGTGTTTTAAAAAATGAGCGCATGCTCTTTGAATCCAGGATGGAGGGTTGCCTCACTCCCCAAGGTTAGGCAAACACATCGGTGAACTTGTGGACACACTGAGCAAGGACCTAAGCAAGAACAACTTACCTTAAGAAGTATTTTAGTGTTACAGGGACTGAGGGCCAGTTCCCAGCATTTCCAACTTCTAACTTATTTACTCAAATTATTCATTTCAGAGACGCTGAGGATGCACTTAGAGGAAGAGATGGTTATGAGATTGGAAGGACCCGAATAAAAGTTGAATTTCCCAAATCAGCCAGGGACTACCGTGATGGAGGGGGTGGATTCTGGGGTGGTCAGGGAAGAGGTGGTGGTTATAGTGGAAGGGGGCGGGGAGGAGGCCCTCCAAGAAGGTCTGACTACAGGGTTTTGGTATCAGGACTACCACCAACTGGAAGCTGGCAGGATTTAAAGGATCATATGCGAGAAGCTGGTGATGTTGTCTACACAGATGTATTTCGAGATGGTACTGGTGTGGTGGAGTTTTCAAGAAAGGATGATATGAGATGGGCAGTAAAAAACCTCAATGATTCCAAATTTAAATCTCATGAGGTAGGTGAATTAAAGTAATTGGCAATTGAATGGGCATACCCGAGGTCCCTCTGATCTGGTGGTAACTTTTTGTTAACATATCTATAAATGTCAAATTGATCAAATATTTGGATCTTGAAAAATTCCAAAGCGTAATTCTTCATAAAAAGAAGAACAAAAAAGAATGAACTGAGGCTCTTTTTAGTATGGTCAAAGGAACAATGTGTAATAATTCTTTTAAAGAATTTTGAATTGCCACTTGTGGTGACAATAAATTGTAAAACTTTTACACCCTTTCCTGGACTTTCATTTTTCCTTGCTTATGTTTGATACATTTTAGAAGGGCCCTGTAGTTGCCTTTTTCATGAAAGGAGATGAGATTTAATTTTGAAGAAATTCAATGTTTAAGTTCAGAAAACTGCAATGAATAACATATGTCTTTTTTCAAGTAAAAGTAGACCTTAATCAGAGGGGTTACAATGGGACACTTTAATGTATGCAAAGAACACTATTAATCAAGGTTTTTTGTTCTATACCCCTTTACTTGGCTTCAGCTGATATAGTGAAGATTTTATGAAATTTTATTTTGTCTGTGTATAAAAAAATATGTTCTTTGCTAATTGATGTCAATTTTGGAGTTTGCTTTTTCTTTTGCCACAGGGAGAATCGGCTTATATCAAAGTTAAGGATGACGGGCCAGGACGTAGCCGCAGTCGCAGTCGAAGCCACTCTCCACGTCGCAGAACATACTCCAAGTCAAAGTCAAGGTCACGCTCTGCATCAAGGTCTCCTAGGTCAAAATCACCAAGACCTTAGTTTGGAAATATTAATTTTAATCATTCCTAAAGGAACAGTGAAACATGGAATGGATAATACAACAAAGTTTGTCTGCACAGTTTAATGTTGCCAATTCAAGGTAAAAACTGGCACTTCTTGCTTTTGTTTATCTTGAACTGGTTTCTGATGATGGTATCTCTGTATAGTGCAAACACACATTAGCTATAATAAGTTCTATATGTATTTTATATATTTTTGACAAAATCTTTCTAATCTCTGCTGTTGATCTTTAGTGTAATAGATAGGGGGAAATGATGTTTTCACATGTGGTGTTCCAGTAAGATGTGCCAATGAATATCGAAACCAGCTGTTACTGCCACTTCTGCTGGTAGAAAAGTTTGCCATATCCTGCATAGTCTTATAAACACAGGTTTCTAACATTGTTAATTGATTCAAAGAGAGGTCTATATTGATAAAGATTTATATTATATATCTTTTTAATACACAACTCAAAGGTTAGCTCACAAACTTACTTTGTACCACTTTAACTCGGTATTTCTAAGTTGAGTTTCTTGTTTAGGGCTAGCAGGCAACATTGTTTGATTTTCCCCACAAATTTTTGTTATTTCAATGTTTTCTCGGTGATTTTCTATGTATTTTAACTAAAAGAAATTTGATATAGTGCATATCCTTGTACTAGCAAGCACTTCTATGTTTTGCATTGTATTTTCATCACATTTGTTATTTTAGAAACTACTGTTGTAAAACGTGTAGCATTTTGTTTAGAAAGTACCCTTCTTTTTTATTTTTATGGTAAATACAGAAACATGAATAAGATCACAAAGAGGACTGCTATGTGATGTGCAGGATACCTTTTTTATAGAAAAAAGAGACAAAATTACCAACTTGAAAACAATCAATTCATTGATTTAAGCTCGAATTGATATGTTTGTCTACTTGAAATTATTTGGAACATTTTGTTTGTTTCATTTGATACTTTTTCCCACAACTAACATGTTTTAAAGTCCAAAATTTTCTTATTAAACTTCTTCATGTTTCTATAACATGAGAGCTTGTGTTACTGGTCAGAAATATCTGTGTATATTGTCCTCTGAAGTTCTTATTAACTCATTTCAGATATCAGGACAAATCAGAGCATTCATTAAGTTACACATGAGCTATGCAACATGCAATTGCAGAATGTGATCATGTCAGCTCACAGAAATTGTTTTGGAACATAATACATTCATGTTAGGAGGACAGGAGGTTTACAAGATCCACTTTATTCATATCCATCAAATAATAGGATATGTGTCTTCAGCTTCAAATCAAAATCTAACTGTCCAAATTGCAATATTTGGAGTGGATTCAGTTTGGGGGCAAAATTTGGACCAGGGTAACTCAAAAAGGAAAAGCAACACATCAGGATACCCAGGCGGATCATATTTTGGGAATTTCATTAACAGCTATGTTGTTTGACCCTAACTAATAAAATACCAGGACTGTGTCACTTTCTAAATGCAAAAGGAAAGGATGACTGTTTCAGTTGAAGGAAAGTGTGGTCAATTCAATGTGTTGTAATGTAAAGGTCACAGGAGTCGCACAGTGATGTAATTTTGTATGGAGCAAACAGTATCTGGAGCACTTGCTAATAAGATGCAAAATATACCAGGGATTTAAGATGTAAAACATACCAGGACTGGAGGTTTTTATTGGTTGGTTTTAAGGTCAAGTGGCTATAAGAATATGCTATGTTGAGTGTAAACAAGGATTTGTGTTTAGCAAACAGATAAGGAACTCCTAGTGCATGGAAATACTACATAAAACATATAGATACAGATTGCACAAGTAAGATCAAGGAAACATGCTAGATTTTTGCTGTTATTAGGGCTAAGTCGCAACAATTTTAAATTCCTAGAGCCAAGGCTTGTAAATTGATATGTCACTTCACAGATCAAATTGCACTTGGAAGTCCCAAGTGTAATCTTATAGCACAAAATGGAACGAAAAAATTTGTTTCTTTACTCTCAATTATTGGACATTTTGGTATCTGGAGTCAGTAACAATTATGGTAATGGAATGAAAACCTCCTACAAACACCATTGAACAGCATACTCTACAGATTTAAAAATGTAAGTTTGACCAAGAATAGTAACATCAGTTGTTGTTTGTGCTTTTTCTGTTTACTTTGACCATTTCTCTGGTCAAACCTCTTTTTTAACTAAACAAATGTACCAACACCATAAGCATTGCTACCAGAGGAAATTGTAAATTAATAATCAATTTCTTTGTAAATTGTATAGTGGTTAGGTGCTTTTATCAAATGTTTTTGTAGAGAAGATTTTGGAAAGTATACTTTTGCGAAAAAATAAATCATTGGAGGTGGATACATATATGAGCTGCCTTTGGTTCCCCTTGGCAAAGATTTTGTAGATCAGAAGTGCAACTGGATATTATATTGCTTTGTGATTCAAATGGTTTGATTATTAGTATAATTCATGATATATTGTTATGTTTTCAATAAATTGAAATGGCAAGTGTAATTGTAATTGTGAATGCTTTGGGTGATAGAAATTGTAACAAATATATGCTCAGTCATATGTTCTACATTTCCAGCTTTGAAATTGGAGATGGGCCATGATTTTAAAAGAGTAGTTGTCACAGTTTACCTTATTCAAAAAATGGGGGTTTCGAAGTTTACCAATTTTGGTAGATGACTGAATATCCCTGAAGCGAGGATAGAAAAGCAGTGGCCATTCGCCTTCAACCCTGTGTTTTGTTAAAAACTGTCAAACTACAATGTCAAAAGACATGTTAAAAACTGTCAAACTACAATGTTAAAATGTCAAAAGACATTTTTAATAATTGTCTTCATTTTTGTGTTTATTGTGCTACTCTTTTTATATTTTCACTGAAAATAGTAGTTGAACCTTTCTCAAATTATTTAAATAAGAGCCTTTTTGAAAATCTCTTTTAAACAAGGTGCCTATTAAATAGTGAAAAAGTTAACCTTCTCAGTTTTCAGATTCTACAGGTTGTAGTATGTTCTTGTGTAATGGTGTTTTTTGTATTTTCATTTAAAGGCTGTGGAGTGCCGTTCCATAGCATTTTTATTTTATGTTGTGAGATTATTTCCAGCAAAAAGTGTGCCATATGTGGCTGAAGGAAGTTTGAAAAGAACTGTCTCAGACAACAAATATTTATAATAATTTTTGATAACATTTTATGTGCTTGTAATCACTCATCAGACCATGTTAAGAACTTCTTAAGATTCATATTGCTAGAAAAAAATAAGCCAAAGAACTAAGCTGAAATTGTGAAGGGAAGTTTCCAAAGTTGCCAACTCTGCAACCCTTATTGGTATCGCCCCTAGAAGCAGGTCTGCTAAGAGCTTTTCTGGGATTTTGGGCAACGGGGGCCTGCCATGGCGTCATAAAAACATGTGATTGTCACTGTTGTTGTTGTTTTTACGAACTCTATTTTCCCTTTTTAGGGCCCCTCCCAGCTTAAAGCCTGATTTACACGAGACGAATTTTTTCGTGCGAAGCGAATTTTTCGCCGCGAATGCGCGAATAATATGCGCAGAAGTGGAGATTAGGAAATTCGCAGCGAATTCGCTGCGAAAAAGTAGAAACCATTCCTACTTTTTCGCTGCGAATTTTTTCGCCTTGTAAAATAAACCAATCAGAACAGCAATTGAAGACATCTGACACGAACCCAAAGGAAGGGCTAGGCCGAATGGTGCTACGCAATGTAGACATATCTAAATCAAAAGTATGCAAAACGACAGAAAACTACGCAATGGTTCAAACAACAACATGGGTGAAGAATGAGTAACCTATGACCAGGCCTAAACAATGCTGGGAAAATCCCGCACCTATAACATAAACAATGGAATGGGACGTTTCTAGCAACAGGCGTCTTTGGTGCAATAAACGATAAAAGCTCCTCATATGTAGTTGGCGACATTCGAAAGTAATTATTCCTGATAATGTAAGCGTAGGTCACTTACCAAAAGATGAAACTACCCCTTCTGTAGACGTTCTGAATAAATTTTTCGAACCAAGTACCCCTTTCTTTGCTTTTTGCTCGCTTTTTTTTAATAACAACAATCTTCGAACAGACGCCATTTTATTTTGCATTATTCGCGGCGAATTCGCAAAAGAAATTTTGCCAGTGGAAATTGAACTTCGAATTCGCAGCGAATTCGCAGGCGAAAAATTCGTGGCGAAAAATTCGCTTCGCGCGAAAAATTCGTCTCGTGTAAATCAGGCTTAAGTCTCTGGGCAATCTGCTTCCTGCCCCTCTCTTGGCTGGCTTGCCAGCAACCGTGAAATAAATTTCCGAAGTGATGACAGTCACAAATATCTTTATTTAGAACTTCGAAATGACATCCTGTAGCCTGAAAAAGCCTTGTGAAATATGTGATACAAATGTTTTGTCATGAAACAAAGTGCAAAAGCAGTTGAATGGTTCGAAAACTAATTGTGCAAATGTGGCCATGTCTCATTTAATTTGTAACCGATTTGACTGATTTGGTATTTTGAGATATTTTATGGTGCTCTTCAAGGTTTTGCCAACTTAAAACGCACCTATTTTGACGTCACGCATTTCTTATGACGTCACCCAACCCATCGCCTTGCTATTCAATATGCTTGCTCACGATAGCCACTACTATTACCCCCCCCCCCCCCCTCCCTATAAAACGTTGAGTAAGCCTAAAACTTATTTGCCCATATAAGATTGGAAACCCTATAGTTGAATTGATTCCAAAAATTATATAAAAACACAGGAAAATCTTGTAGTTGCAATTCCTGTCAAATATATCTGTTTCCTTCCCTGTCAAACTACTTCTGATCAAATGTATTGTCAAAGACCAAAAGATGAGAGGTTTTCATGAAGTTCTGATTAAGTTTATATAAAAGAAACCAATTATTCGGGATTCACTTTCCAACTAAAAATGTTTCTGTTACAGTAACCATTACGGAACTTAAAACGTCTCTTTTTCAACTTCAATCAAGCCCGTAGACAGGCGTGTGGAGTAGGGGTGGCAAACTTCCTGTGTTCAATGCAGGCGAAGTTTAAATTTAAGCTTTTGTAGGGGTAGGGGGTATGGCAGGTGGCTAGAGTTTATGGAAACAAATACTGATACTGTCAATATCACTGTCAGGTCTGACAAAATCATTAAAGTGCTTGTGAACAAATGCCCTTCTTCGCTGAATGTTGCTGACCACTGATTATTCCATTGGGTGTCTATACTATAGAATATTGTTCGCAAAGTTTCTTGTTCACATAACTTTTGATTTTGAAATGCCCTGACCACTTTGTTGCAGCAAGTCGTTTCAGCAATTTTCTGAGAAGAAGTTTTTGCTTGGCAGCGAAAGTTTTTTTTAGCGCCAGGTATAATCTTAAGTTCTACATGGGTAATAATAAACCCCAATTAGCATCTTTCCTTCTTCCAGTGTTAGGTTGAACGGCAATCCAATGACAACGAAGAAAAACTTCTTTAAAAATGTAGAGACAAGATTCTCGGGAATGGCAAACAGCTGGCACTCTCTTGCCCCAGGGGTGGCATTGCCACCCTATCACAGAATAGGAAATATTTCCTATTCGGTGAACCTATGCCACCCCCTTTCTACGGTTCTACGGGCCTGACGTCAATTGAAAACAGGAAATAATGAATTGTTGGCTTCAAGTGTTTCTCTGTCTGCTACCCTGTGAAACCACGAGATCATAATAGGTGACGTCATTAAGAAATGTTGTGGTCACATGAAAACGGAGCTAGCGTATCAGTAGAATCCTGTTGTCCAGAAGGTTTAGTCGCCGTGGCCAGTCCAGTTAAGAATCATGGCACTCGTCAACGGATTCCTTATTCACCTCGTGATACTTTTTGTTTGGACCAGAACAGGTATGTATTTTAATTATAACCATTTTCTTATCGTATTAGGACACTGAATACCGTTGGGTTTGTTATTGTATGCGTTTTGTGTGTTTGATTGGACTGGAATGTGGAATTTTTTGTTCTGAATTTAAATGTTCAAAAAAGCGAATATTGTTGCTCAAAGTTTGTCCCAAAATCATAAAAGCATGCTTAGTTTTGCCATTTTTGACAATTTTGTAAAGAATTTTCGATTATCACCACCTATGGAGAACTTATTTTGAAGAAATTCGACAAAAAGAGGCAATGGCCCCGCCATTCCATCTTTGGCTACGCCACTAACCTAACGATTTAAAATCAACCAGCTCATGCTGTTGGAGACATGAGAAAACAACAAATTGGAAGTTTTACACCAGGTTCATTGAACTATGATTGTCTCCCCTTTTACCGTTCTACGTATCCATTTTAGGTTCATAGAGAATCAAAGCAACTTTTAGTTCCATCCTTTCAAAATAAAAATGTTTGCATTTCTTTATGAATTATGACAACAGTCGTTTCCACGACGACAAAAAAATCTCTTTAAAAAACCAAATAACCTAATGAAAAACGCCCTCAGATCAAAAACAGCTTTATAACTTTGGAATATTGACGATGGTTTTCCGACCTTTGGCAAACGTTGGTAGACGAAAGTAAGAAAGAAAATTACTTGGGCTTAAGATTTGCAATTAAATGGTGGGAGGCACCAAAAGCAATTTTCCAAATACCTTACATGAAATAAAAATTCCAGCATTTAGAAAAGGCATTTTTTACGGAAACATATACCGAGATGACGTAGTACTGCGAAATCGGGCTCTCGTTGATTTGGGAAACGAATAGCCATGGGGGTAGCAGATGCTACACGTTTTGGCAGGCCAAGCGAAGCAGGGGGGCTGTGGTTGCTTTGGCCTCCTTCTTATAGCAAAAAATGCGAAATATTAAGAAGTAAACTACCTGTTAAGCCTATTTTTATTCCGGTTTAGCCCCCGCACTTTTTTAGGCCCCCACTCTTCTAAACGCTCTGCGGTCCCTATTGGGGGGCTAAGTATGGAGTCTGAAATGCGATAAATTTGTTTTGGTTAGGGGGGATGCAGCCCTGCCAGCCTTTCAGGGATGGTTGTTATTGTTAATCCTAACAATTTTATACGCCTATGCGAATATCAATCTTAAATGCTTTGTAGCAAAAAGACGTAATCCCGGAAATCACCTAATACTTGAAAGGCTGTAAATCTGGTGACTTTTTATTATCGGATACAGCACAGAAGAAACAGTATTTCCTAAGGATATTAGTTTGCCTGCATTCAACCATTCTAAAGCAGATGAAAAACCATTCTAATATTTTACCTGGAAACAAGATATGCACCACTTCCTTCTTTCCAAGTTCATTTCGCGATAGGAAGATCATTTTAGCAATAAGGAGTCGCTAGGCCTGTTTTGGAATAAAGAATTTCAACCCTATGGTGATACTTCTTTACAACAAAAACTCCGATGTGAAGTGGTTGTCATTGAATTTTCGCTAAAATCGGTCAAAATACTACAGTCATATTAGTCTTCTATAGTCAACAGCTAAAGTAATGCTTTAAAGGGACTGACTGATTGTTATACTGATTTAAGGGGCCATTAAGAAGCCATGTTGTGGGAAACTTTAACCATCATATAGTGTACGGATTCGTTTAAAAGAGCGTCTGCTGGGATGTCTGCAGTGACTAAAAAAGGTGAAGGCCAGGTAAAGGCAACTGAGAACCTGTTTGATATCTCTCTTTCTTGCCAAAATTAGCATTGCTTCCTTTCTCAGGGGCAGAAATTTGACCTGTGAACAAACCAAAAGCGCTCATATTTACGTCCAACCCAATTTCCGTTCTGACCTTTTCTGTTCTGTATCTGTACGAAATTTGGGAAATTATTAATGCCTCCTCACAGGAAAGAATGGTGTAGAAAAGGAGCAAAGATTAGGGTTGTGAACAGAATTATTTTTAATTTGATGCTAAAACTTTTAGAAAAAAACGGGTATATAACGGGTTCTTTCATAAGTTAGTTTTAGTCTCGTCGAAACTTTTGTCGTACTGCTAGAAGCTCTGTTGCTAGTTTTGTCGTGCCTGTTGAAGCCGTGCCGTTATTTGTGGAACTTGTTGCTTTCAGTCGTTAGTTGAATCATTGCCATAAAAATAAAAATTTTGATTTTATCCGCCGTTGCAGTATTTTTGAGCATTTCTTCCTACAACGAACTCACATTGGTTAAAACCCCTTTTAAGTGGTTTTACAGATGGCTCACCCGCTTTGTGGGCTAAAGGGGTTGGAACCCCGCTTGAGCACAATAGCTAGCGACGGGCCTGGTAGTTTCTCCTGTTCATTACTACTTTACCTAGATGATATAGTCTGTACCAAATTAAAGTGCCTGTGACATGATTTTCGTACTTTTGGGTTTATATATCTATTCTTATGTAAAAAGGCCTATTATTTTCATTTCTGAGATTAGTTTTTACGTTTCGTGAGAAATGAAGGAGTTATTGGCGATCTTCTACGCCAAAATTCGCCATCTTGGTTTTCAGAATGAGTAGACAGTGACGTCATGGGAGGGACCCGATCGCCTCCTCCTTCGAGTTTTTGTCACAAGAGAACAGCGAATTGTGATAAAGCGACTTGGCTAGGCTGCACTATTTTGCTTAATTTCAATATCAAAACGCTTTTATTTCAAAAAAAAGTTCAGATCTACTATAAGAGCAGTGCAACGCTTCAATTATGAGAATAAAAAAAATCATGTCACAGGCACTTTAAGTTTTAGGCAATAGGCCCGTCGTGGTGCAGGCTTACCAAAAGTAAGTTCTCTAATTCGTATCTCTAGCCATTAGTAATTGCAATTGTATGTTGTGAGATTCATTTCGTGCTCCATAGTGACTAGCGGATTCTTGCCCAATGTCAACTGTAACACAAGATTAACGGTAGTGCCAACAACATCGGATACATCATATCGGTTTTACCCCTACTTTGTCAATTTACATCGATGTCAGGGATCTAAAGGCAGAAACCCCCCAGCTTTGATGGAATGCGTGCCTGCGCAGGTGGAGACTGTGAATGTCGAAGTGAGGCCGCTTCAAACAGCTGACAAGTCGAATGGCTTTTTGAGCATCCAAGGGAAAATGTATTTGCCGATGGTCAACCACACATCCTGCAAAGTCCAGTGTGCTTTCAAGAGAGAGGATTGTAGAAAGCCGAATGTTTATGATGAAGCTGGCTGCAAATGCGTCTGCAATTTGGGCTTAATAGGCCCTGCAGGAATGATTTGTAAAGATTCAAGAAAAATGTATGTTAATTACTTATCCTTGTCTTGATACAGCACTCAAAGGGGCCTGGGCAACATGGAGCCTTTGCACGGCTGCTGTCGACTTCTAAAAATCAAAAAGTAATATGGCTCCTGCATAATACCCTTTTCTGTTGCTCAGACCCCTTTAAGGCCGGTTTTCACTTGGCCGGTTTTCCTGCTAGAGCTAAATTAGTGAAAGCGAGGCCAGGAATTTCGGGGGTTGCACAGCCCACAACCATGAGGAGGTCATTAGAAGCAAAATGGTTTCAACTACCACCCCAGATAAATCCTTGGTCTTATTGTTTTGTAAGAAACGTTTTGAAAAAATTGTCTTAGTTGACGGAGGAAGGGCAACAACTTTTCTGGAGTTTGAGCAAAGCAACGAAGGATCAGCAAATCGGCGAACTAGACTAGCCGTTCAGTAGCTCTACCGATTTGTTAAAAAGTGTGTTATACTTTGTGCATGCTCGGAAGTGCGTTTGCTCAGTCTCGCAACCAGTACGAATTAAATGGAATCCTGCCTGTATGATATATCTTTGAAAAATGTTTCCAGTAAACTTTCCAACTTCCTGTCCGGAACTACACCCCTAACCCCACCCCCTCCCCCTCCCCACACATTTTCCAGGAGCTACGTACACTACTTGCTATTTTTTTTAACAAGACCCTTTTGTCTATATGCGTTGGATTGACGTACACTCATTGTTGCCTTATTGCTAGTCAAGGGGCAGAAATCTGACATTCCGGGCGCCTTTACAATTTTGTTGGGCATTTTATGTATACAGACTTTTACTTTTCAAAAAGCAACTTGATATATACAGAATCTTTCTTTTGGCAGTATGTGCTCGTGTTATTGATTTATCGTACCTTTGTAGGTGGAGCAACGTGTACTGTGGCTGCATGTGCAAAAACACCAAAACCTGTCGAAACAGGCGTCAGTACTTCGATCAGAATAGTTGCTCCTGCAAATGCAAAAAAAGGCGTTCGGCTACTAAAGGCTGTGTATACTACGGCGAAAACTATGATCCGTCAACATGCAGTTGCTTCAAAAAAGCAAGACGAGTCAAACAAAATCAAAGTACGATAGTATGATCTGATACTTGATTGTGTCCATGATTTGATTTATGATTGGATCCATGACTTGTTTCGTGATTTTTCATGATTTGACAGATAATATGCTCCATAATTTGACTAATGATTTGATTTGTAATTAATTCATGATTTGATTAGTGATTTGTTTGATGATTTGACTGATGGCTTGTTTCATAATTTGACTAGTGATTCGATTCGTGATTTAATTTGTGATCTGTTTCATGCTTCGCTTCACCTATTTGTCTAGTTGCTAGATGCTTTGATTTTTTGTTCTAGAATGAATGAAGTTGTGCTGTTTTACTTGAGCTAAGGTTGATCATTTGATTGCATGACTGATCAATTTATGTCATTGTTTGATCTTTGAAGAATACCCCTCAACTCACTTGTTAGACTGATCAATTGATTGCTCAATTTCGTTTTCAGATAAATTTCTTGAATGGGTTGTGAATGAACACTGATTAATTGATTAATTTAATGATTCTCTTTCCTGACAGCCATAAATCAAGATCAGCATAAGAAGAGTAGCACTGGCTTATGGATTACAGCAGCTGCCATCGAACTTTTCCTTATGTTATGTGCTTTTGACGTGTTTCTGCATAAGCATGAGGCAGGTTTTTCCTTTGCAATCAAATCCAAGATTTCGAGCAAAGATAAACCAAGAATCAGTGACAGTGATGATCACGAGGAGAAGCCCCATGAAACCACAAAATGTAAGTAGACTAGATAATGTAACCAGAGATTAGATAGTTGCATGTAGGGTACCTCAGTGGATCTTGGCGATTGAGGAAGAAAAATCGTCCCACCACTATGCATTGTCTCAACCTTCTTTCATTTACATCTTGAGAGATTTTCTTGAAGAAGTGGAATCCGGGCCCTTCCACTGTAAACCGTAGTCCCCATATCACTTTTCATGAGCTTCATCTTCAGTTTCATTTATTTATCAAGCTTCTAAATACATTCCTACACAGACTGCAAATACATCACAATACAACTGCCAAATTGTAAAGATGAAAAATGTATGTTCAGTTTCAATGGGTAAATAACCTGTCATATCTGCGTTTACAATATCACGATTGCGTAAGAACGCCTTATTGGAAGCCTCTACGACTGAGAAAAACATATTATTGCCTTCATTTCAAGAATATAATTTCCCACAATATTGCATAAGACAAAAATGCGACTCAGATTCATGTTTGTATTTTTTTAATTCACAGTTCGCGTAACATTCAAAGAAATACTCCGTCGACAATCAAGAGTTTCCAGCTCCCTTCGGAAACGATCTTCCGCTTATTCAAGTTCCTGTCCTGGACCCCAGACGCCGCTTATTACGTCACCAAGCCAAGACAACATTGCAGAAGACGTATTTTTCCAAGAATAAACATCGAATGAATGCAACTTTGGAAACGTTCTGGATCAAAGGGCAATAAAATTTTGTTGTAGATATGTTGTTATTCGTCACATTACAATGGAACAGCTAGACTAGTTTTCGGTTATCTCGACACTGTATTTATATATTTGTAATCGAAAGCTTAAGTGGCAAAGGGGTTTTAACCTTGAATTTTCACTCATAAATGCGCGAGTTTCTACCAAGTTCCCCTTCAATACTCGGCTTTTGTCTCATCTCCTTCATACATACACTGCATCCAAATATCTCGTTCAGTGGCGGCTCGGATAAGTGGGGGGGACAAATGGTGTGTCAGGGACCACGCCCCCTTTCCCCCTGTTTGAAACATTATCTAGATAACGTGTGACGGTCTAGATAACGTACATACACCCCCCCCCCCTCGAAGTTTTCTCGTCAGGTTTGCGAGAATCTCAAGGACCAACTTTCTGAAAAGGTGGGAGGGCTAGTTCCCCCCGTGGCTCCGCCACTGATCTCGTTATTAGTCGCTAGTAGTTGGCCCCCTTTCCCAGTCAATGACAAAGTATTAAGAGGCCTTGTTTGAGCTGGATTTTGGTTTAGGAACAATTCCTGATTTACTTTGTTCAAATGAGTCCCCTGTCTAGAATGAAATAAGCGGACCAAACTCTATAAAAGTCAATTGGATGCAAGTACTTACGCGATATTTTGCTCTTTCACAACTTTCAAAAAGTTTTTTCATTTCCTTCCAAGATTGGCGGGAGCAAAGAAGATATTTTTTATTTCAATCTACTTATTTACTGAAAATTGTTTCATAGTTACTTCAACTTGTAGCGACTCTTAAAGTTACAATCAAATGCAAATATTTAATTTGTTTAATATTATACTAAATCGATAATAAAGTCCTTAATATATTAACAATTTAAAATCAGATTTCTGTTAAATAGAATTTCGATTACCAATGTTGCTTTTGTCGAATTTCACTCTCCAACGAACCTGTTTTTTTTTTCATTAACAAACAGTACACATACTCTAATAATCCTTGAAGTTAAGGTCTTTGATGTCATTTTCTAAGAACATAAAAAGAAAATATGTATTTTACCAAACATACATTTAAGAATTCAATTTAGGTATAGGAGTTCTCCCACCACCCCTAATTTTCTTGGTACTTACTAAAAATCTCAAATAAGGTTTTGGAAACGGTAGGTCACGATTTCTCTTTCGCAGCTTAATTTGTTTAGAAGGCTACGGGCACGCTGCAGCCTTTACATCCGTGAGAGTAAAATTTCCCTCAGCAAAGACAAGAATTCTGTTAAAACGCCCAATGAATTATAGGAAAATTTATCCTTGGTAGAGACAAGAATTCTGTCCAGGCCCCCAATGAAATATAGGAGAGTTTGTCTCTTAAAAATAGACAAAAACGTCAAGCCTCTTTGTCAAATTGAATAGACACGCCCAAAGAAATGGACACGCCTCGAAGGGGTCACGTGATATAAAGCAGGTTGCCCTGCTAAAAAATTTTGTTAAAAAACTTCACTCGCACTCCTGTGACTATCGCTAAGAAGGGGGAGCCTCTAGCCTTTTTCCTTTCAGCGATTTCAGCAGCAGCTGGATTTGGAGTAGCCTGTGTTCCAGACCCCTAACTTGAAAGTAGACCTCTTCTTTCAAGTTAGGGGTCTGGAGCACAGGCTAGATTTGGAGGTGCATTGCGGTCACGGTGGTTTTGATAATACTGTCTTCGGCGTTTTGATAATATGTCACCATAGTCAATAGAATTTCTCTATTGACTATGATGTCACACTCTGGCTTAAAAGCGATTTCCATTGAAACAAAATGATTGACAGGGCTTTTTAGATAAAACAAAAGGATTTCTACCAAAGGCGTCTAGGACTGTCTGCTTTCACTTTCTGGTTACATAAAACAATCAAACTTCCTTTGCGATGTGATAAATGAACTTATACCTTACTAAACGTATGGCATTATTCACTATAGATTCAACAAAGCTTTCAATATGTGGTACTCAAGTCAATGTCTATATGATACAGTTGATCTATATCCCAAGGGGGAGGGGGTACTCCTTTTAGGGCCTGACAGGAGGGTCCAGTCGATTGTAGGGTCTTACCAAAAGGCTACCAAATGGCCCAGTTTCGATAATAACACTGCCATTTGGGAGGATTTCAAGTATTTGCTACCGTGTAGGGGGGGGGGTGGCTTTTACTCAGCTGCTTCGTTTCATTTGCGATTTATTATAAAAAATTTAAAAGATCCTATCCTTCCCGATTTAACAACAGTCAATGGCCAAGAAATTTTTCAAAGGAGGACCAGGCGAGCACAAAGAAATTGATGCTACGATTGGCATGATTTCTGTTCTTTTGCTACAATTTGAATGTTATTGTCAAAAAAGACTACCATTTGAGGGTAATTTTTGCACTTTTGCTTTGGCCCTCTTTGACCCTGACCGGACCCCCCTGTTAGGCCATAATTGGAGTGCTCCCCCGGATCTATATGAAGTTGATGTCTATATGATACAAGCTACTGGTTACACTAGCATCAATTTTAGACCCAAATACGCAAAAATATTCAGTTTCATTCCGTTTACAGTCACACTCCGTTTACATACAGTCCCAATTTTGCAGGTAACCTGGCTTTCAAATTTCTTGCACTGACCTGAATATCATTGCTTCCCACGACAACATAAAAATTGCTTCCCACGACGTCAGTTTGGTAAATTTATAGAAAAGGCTAATTAAACAGATATCACAATCACGAATTATTTCTATATAAATACTCCTGAGAGTCACCCATCAACGGTGACGTCATCAATGAAAACCTTCGTAATATTACCTTCGGTCTTGAAAAACAATCAATTTGTGAATGAATGGTGACTGCTATATTACTCCGAAGAAACAAACAAAACCTTTTCAATTCTCACGGTGGAGTTAGCAGACCACAAACATTACTTTTTAATAATTTACATGATCTGATCCTGAAAAAGTAAAACCCCACTGTGCCCCCGCTTGAAATATGCTTCCGTTCCCCAATTCTACGTTTTTCAATGCTTTTTGAGCAATGCAAAACCTCACATAGCAGACAACACAATTATAAATGGCGTTAACACAGCTCTTGGCTTGGCACATATGGTAAATTCCCATCATCTAGTAGTAATAAAGCCCTTATTCCAAAACAAAACACTCTCAATGCTTGTTGAGCCATGCAAAACCTCACGCAACAGACAACAGACAATAAATGGCGTTGAAATAGCATTTGGCTTGTCACATATGGTAAATTCCCATCATTTAGTAGTAATAAACCCCTTATTCCAAAACAAAACTCTCTCATGTTTTTATAAACTCTCTTGGCAAGAACACCGAGGCTCAGCTTGCCAAAAGTGAGAAGTACGTAAGATCATGTCTTTTTCAAAATTTTCTCTCGTGTTAAAAAGTCGGGGCAGATCTTTTCAACTAATGAACGTTGTTTTTAATAATTATGGTGCAAAATAGATATCTCTTTTAATAGAAGCAATTTATAATACTAGTTGTAGAAAAATCAATTTTGATATAAGAACAGCATCAAGAACACTCTTATTATTCAAAATCATTTGGTTCTAACAAAAAAGAATGGGAACAAAAGTGTAATTTCTAATTCAGATTTTGAGGGAGTGTTGAGACGTTCTCAGGATGTTTGAGAAATAATTGTGTCACGATCACGACTACTTTTTGGCACTTGAAAAAGGGGCATTATAAGGACAATCTTACTGTCAGCTACGTTCATCTCCAAATTTTGTCATAATTCTGGGGGTATGTGCTACTGGAGTCCACTTAACCGAGGTCCCTGGTTGAGGTGATGTTTTGCCCGCTGTAAAATGTCATAAGTTAAAGTGCTATAAAGAGGATAGGGGTGGTCTTGGCGATTATTTTTCAAAGAACCAATCTAAAGGTACCTTTTGGTATTAAAAAGGGGATTGAGCAAAGTCCCAAGAAATTAGGGTGTGTCTGGGCTTGTAAATCGGGTGTGGACTGGTTGTAGCAGGCCCATTAGTCGCTGGATGCTTTATGGATGCCCACCTAGCGATATCTTAAGGCTACTTGTTTTGAAGAAAACTTCAGTTTTCAACTTTTCTCTAGAACCAGTAAATCTTTTAGTAGGGTTTTATTAGAGTTTAGGCTATTAAATCATGTGTCTAGTAGGCATTGTTCTTAATTACATCAACAAAAGATGTAGGCTTGAATTTAAATTTAGGCAGGCTGTTCTACATTCCTTTTTATATGAACGAGTAAATTTAAGTTCAGGCTGGCTGTTCTTTATTTCTTTTGAAAATTTGAGGTAGGAATGTTCTTGATATGCTCTTAATATTAGGATGGAAGCTGTGCAATTGCTAGCTAGTGTGCACTAGTGAGGCCCTTTATTTGCCGACAAGTTTGAAAATTACTGAAAAGCACACTTAGATGGAAAAAACTATTGCTCAAACCAACTGTAAATAAAGAGATATCATTATTATTATTCTTATTATTAAATCAGTTGAATTTCGGCGACATTGAAATCTATTGAATTAGGCACGTAAACAAATTTTGGTTTACATTTCACATTTACACTTTACAGTACCTCAGCATGACCATGTTCTTGTAATTTCACCAGCTTTGAAGCTCCAGATCTTATAAAACTGTTCTAATAAAAAGGGCGTAATTGGCATAATTACTTCGAAACCCCACTGTGCCCCCGCTTGAAAGACCAAATGGTCTTTGAAAACCCTTGATTTTTGCAAGTAACTAACTTTCAACGAAATCTAGCCCTGCTTTCAACGAAGTCACGTCACGTCATTCCAAATGAACGACAAAGGCACAAGGGATGATTGTATTGGAACTCCAAGAGCTGCAATCATCGATTTCGCAATCCAATGAACGTCAATACATGGATATTCTCATTATTATTATTAATGTTTTCCTATGATATCTTTGTTTGTGCATTAGATCTAAAGAAAAGTTAATCTGGTTTCTGAATACTTACATGCTGTATATATAGGCATTATTGAATTCACAGGATGTTTTCAGAAGGCACCCAGCATCAGTATTTCAATTCGGCATCAATGGTGCTTCAGAGGCAGGACAGAGTCACCTTCATTCAAGGTTACAAGAGGAGGAAGTACCACCCATCATTCTCTCGTGTGTTTATACTGTCATCACGTGGTTACCAGTTTTCGCGTCAGCAAATATAAAAGCACGTGTTATTAAAATATTGCAACATTAGAGGCGAGCTCAGAACAGCAAAAGCTTGAGAAAGTTTCGAGCATTCAAGGAAGTATAAATAACTTGAACTCCCATTATGATGGAGCAGATTCTATTTATCGGTGTATGGCTGTTGCTACTAAATGCAGGTTTGTGTTGAGATCTTTTGTCGTAAAATTCTTGAAATTATTTCTTTGAAAACATTAAAGACAGACAGTAATCTAGGCGGCTGCAAGTCTAGGCCGCTTTCCAGGTGTACAGTTTTTATTAAAGAGGTGAACACCCAAGGTCTTGAATATTTGAATCGAAAAACAAGGGACTTCTTCTCCTGCAGTCCTAATTCAATGTTTACTGCTTCATTGTAACGTGTGAGGAAACCCCGTAAACCAGATTCACTTCCTGATCAAAGATCTGCAAATGAAAGTAATTACAGTATTCCTTTGAATCGAAAATTTTTAAAGTTGCATGCAAAATTGTTCCCGTGAGCTGCATGTTTTTCCAACAAAAATTCAAGGTTAGACCCTCAAAGAAAATTCAGACTAGACACTGTGTAATCACTTAGCTACGACCGAAAATAAACAAACTGGATTTCTACGACTGGCGTTTTTTGTTCTTGTCGCGGAGTCTTCCCAGTGTAAAGTCTGTTTGCTGTCTGAATCAATTTAAATACTATTTTATCAAGTTGGGATCTGCAGTTATGAAAAGCTCGTCAGTTGCGTCGATATTTTATGAGGACAGAGTGCATGGCATTTTATTTAGAGTAATGAGGAAAATTCATCATAAAATTGTGTAGAATTGGGATATGAGGGAACCGCCTCTTCGTGGTTTGTTATTTATCGATCCTTTAATGGCAGCTGTTGTTTCGTAAATGATGTGATTTGATGGAAGATTTATACTGTTCTCAACTGCTTATATTTTATATTTGAATGAGAAAAACGAGTGATGCACTTCCTCAGAAACGTATCACAATTTACCATCCAAAAACATTTTCCTGTAAAATTTCCTTTAGCATCGTCCATTAGGAGGGTATGAGTGCGGGTATGAACACCACGAAATTGTTTATTTCTCTCTCTGGGCTCTCCAGCCCTCAAAGGCCCCTCAAAGGCTCCTCAAAGGCCCCTCAAAGGCTCCTCAAAGGCCCCTCAAAGGCCCCTCAAAGGCCCCTCAAAGGCCCCTCAAACCCTGAAGCAGGCGGTGAATGGTGACCTGGAATTTAGCAATAAGTTTCGTTTGGATTATTCTGTCTTTGACTTAAGCAAGGCTACAGTGAATGACCCTACGTGGGCCTTACTTTTTAATCTTCTTTTGTTAGCGGAATCGTTGTTATATTCTTTGACTGTGAACTTTAAATATATGTTAAGTCCTTAAGACCCGCTCTCCCAAAAATGTTATTGCCATGTGACATGTGACAGTGCCATGTGACATTCGGAACAATATAGACGAGTTCCAAGAACTGCAAACAATGAATCAGATTTAACCGAGCTTCCGTAAACGACAATGCTATTTAGTAGTTCTGTTATTCTTTAGTTTCACTTTCTATTTATCATTAAAGGCAATCGACGGTTATAAAAGTGGCGTAAATCATTTGTCAATTAATATTAGCCAATCAATGAGGGCGTGTGTGGAATCACGCTCACTGATTGGTCAGTTCTTGATTGAAAGATGTCTTTAACTTGAGAGCAATCCAACATATGTTATGGGTAATAACTTTAAAATTAAGGGAATTGAAAACCCAAAATGAGAAAGAAAAATCTTATATATTAAATATAAAGGCCTTATTGAAATTATTTTCTGCTTCCACGTAAAACGACGATGACTTGGGCAATGAAAACATTTAGTCGGTTTCATTTGACAGTTGGTTTTATTTTGACAGTTGGTTTCAACGTTTATAAGCAGAACGAGATTAGGTATTTATAAGTACCACAAAAAGTTGAAGAATATGAAGGCCAGTATTTAAATCATACAAGTGATTTGCAGTTATCGAAATTCTTAGTATTACTTTCGTCATCCTGTTCCGGTTTCGAAAGATAGTCTGGCAGATTTTCATCGCCCGTACACGCTTTTCTTTTTATAAGGAACCTATCTCAAGGCCTAGTTCCAAAAGTTCCTTATTCGTAGACCTCAGATCATCAAATTGTAGTACCAAAAGTTCCTTGACAGTTCCTTAATTTTCGCTGCACATCAAGTGCCGTAAAAAGTTGTACAGAAACAGAAATAACATAAAAATTTTGATATTTGCCTTAACTTGTGGCTAGAACTCAGAAGCAAAAACACAAAGAAGGCTATGTATAATGAAAACCTTACTTTCGTTGTTTTGACCACAACAAGCCTTATCACTTAATAGTGAGAGGGGCGAGACAGCATATGCGGAAACTACTCAATGAAGCACTTGACACACGAACAGCAAACAACCTATGGGAGTATTGGCTGCAAATGAATGGAACCGGCTTTTTAGTTTTTGATGCTTGCAGTTATAAAAATTTTTCAAATTGGAAAGTTCCTTAGGGATTTCATTTTTAGTAGTATAAGTTCTTTAAATATTTCGGCCTTCTACATGTAGGTTCCTTATAAAGTGGTTCCTTATAAAAAGGGTGTAGCTTGAGAAACCGAAATTGCTAGAAGGGTAATTTATAGTACCAGGGGTGTAGTGACCAGGGGGTAATTTGAAATGAGAATATCATCCTGACCTGAAGTGTTCCAATTTTCAAATGGTTTTTGCGAACAAAGCGACATATTTGCCTACACTAAAATATCGGCATCACTGCATCTGGATACTATTCTGGGTAGTAATAATACTGGATATTATGCACCGTAATATCCCAGAGAGGAAGCGCTAGTACTGAAGTTGCATAATATTCATTTTGCAACAATATGCAACAGTCAGTTTGCAACAGGTTTAACTGAATTTGCAGAAAATTCATATTTTTAGACTGATATTATTCTCAAACCATTCTTAAAACGCAACGCATGATAAAAACGCATGTTTTATCATATGTTTCTATAAAACGTAAAAATATAGCATCAAAGAAGAATTTTTTCTTAATCTTTCATTTGCATTTAAGGAAATGAAATCCAATTCAAGCTTGCGGAGTGTATCTCAAACTATAAGCGCGAAAGTTGGGCTTCTCTTGTTTGCTCAAAAACTCAGGTAGATAAAAAGCCAAACTGGATATGAAATTTTAGCCTGGCTTACATTATTCTTAACAATTCTTGAATAAGAGCAGTTTTGAGCCTCGATATTTTCATAAAATTTGTTCTTATACAAGAGTTTTTCTTATACAGAAGAGGACGAGTTAACAGCAAAAGTATACTGCCCAATTACAGTACGAGTTTCTTTTCGATGAACACGAACATGCAGCAGTATTGATACTCGTCTTTTTATGCACATTTATGCAAAATTTAATGTGAGGACCATCCCCCGGATTAACCCCCGGATTAGTTCTGGACTTGGGATCGCGTTTTTTGGTAAGACTGTAAGAAGTGAGAGACAGAGTGTAGGCAAGAGTTGTTTTTAAAAAGGTTGTTGTAAAAGCAGTGGCGTAGCGTGACTTTTTCAACTGGGTATTCTTTATTAAACAAAAGGGTGGGGCAGGGTGTGGCTCAATGGGGCTTGATGGAAATAGGAGGGATAATAGGAAGATTAAAAGGACTAGCTATTGACAATTTATCTAATTTTCTTTCTGGTTCGGTTGGCAAGTACTGCACTGTCAGGGCATTACTATGATGAAAACGATACTTTGCTAAAGGACCCTTCAAATATACTCTTCGAACTCATTCATTGCATCAAAATACCACTAACCATTTCATCAAAAGTAATTCAAATCAAAACGTATCATTGAAAGTCAGTAAAATTTTGCTAGTCGAAATATGTCCCAATAGTTGTTGTTGAATCCTCTAAAATTTGCACTGATGTAAAGAGGAAGTAACTGTAAACACCTTCTCTTGATACCTTAATACAAAAGGGCTTTCGAAAGTTATTCACATAGGGCATTACACGAGTTATAAATAGTTTGTGGTATGCAGTGGATGCAGTCTAGACTTTTTCTTCAAGGCTTAATCGTGATATTTTCAATACAAGTTGATGATTGAGAGACTCGAAGGTAATGAGACGAGACTGCACAATAAAGCAAATAAATGGGCTCGAATAATGCAAACAAAATAGGCCAACAATATAAGTGAATGCACCAGGCAACTATAAGGATATTATCCAGGCCTATCTGCATTTAATTTAATTCTATCACATAATATAGGCCGTAAGCTGTGACCAAAAAAGGTGCTCCAAAATCAATTTTCGTTGCCCGCATCCGGGCACAACTTCACGACTGTTTTTTCTTGTTTATAATGTGTTACTTAATATAAAATCAGTTGTTGTCACTTTGACAAACATGCATCTCGTGAGATACGGGGGTCAATAATTTCTAGGTTTTATGACGTCATCGATACAGTCAAATTATTTAAAAAACATTTTTTGACACAGAAACTGCCCTCACCAGCTAGATCACTTTAAGTTAGTATACAAACGTGCAACTTAGAGCGTTGTCAAACGCTTCGTGTCTGAGAAGTTGCCTTTTAACGGTTGATGACGTCATCACAATATCATCATGTTTTATGGTCAAAACCATCTGTTTTTGTAGTTAACACCGTAGTTAGCAGCATGAACGAGCTTACAGTTGGCAAATGCAAGTAAGCTTGTTCATACTGTACAGGTTATTCTCGTACAGTGTTGAGGAGAGGGGGGTGGGGGGTCAGTGGGCCCATAAATAATAACTCAATTGAACAAAATTTCTAAGTAATAATCCAGCCTCCCCATCAACATTAACAAAACATAATATATGAGACAATAATAACAAAGGTCCATGAAGTCGTGAAGAAATTTTTGTTAAGAATCTCTCATCTTTGTTGGCTAGGGCTAAAGAAGTTCAAAAGCTTCTGAATGTTACAAAATTTCCATCCTCCCTTCCATCCTCCCCTGTCTTTGGGATCCAACGAGATATATACAAAATCTGAGCACAAACACCTGGGACTAACTCTTGACTCTAAATTAAATTTTGAAAGCCATATTCGAGAAGCTAGTTTAAAAGCAAGAAGGGGTATCGGTATGATAAAATACCTTTCCAAATATGTTTCTAGGAATGTGCTCGATCAGATA